ACACAAAGAGTGTATGCACCTGTGCCATTGAAAGCGATTTTGAGTCATGTCATTCGAAGTGTCTAACCAGCGGATTCCAATCAGGTAGTCTACACCTACCGATATGGATCAATCCACTTAGCAATGACTTCATGGATTTGTGTCATGTCTTGGTCTGGCTGGCCCTAGCTTTCTTCCAACCTACTCCTACACCATAAAACACCGCACGTCGAGGCTATTCGTTGGTTAGGCATAGGTAACACATGTCCCAGTCATCTCAAATGATGAAATTTTACTACTTCATCACTTGATTCGCCATCCTTACCTAGTGCCTGTAACAACACACAAGAGCAAGTTGGTCATATGCCAGCTCAGTGGTCAGGAGGTTAATTGTTAGTTCACAAAACCGATTGTCCTGGGTTGAAATTCTGCGTTCGGGATCATGGTTATGCACTGCTCAGGAGTCCCATACTAGGATGAAACGTCCATCCAGTACTTCCAGGTTTTTCATGGTGGTCTAGCTTACATCGACTTATGAATTCAATTATTAGAATTACTATGATCTCTACAAACCCATTCTGATCATAATGCCAAATCGTAATTAAAACATATTTTAATATACTATTACAATAATTCACAATCGACTACATACTCATTCAGAGTACCTATTGACTAGAAATATATTCCTATTAGTAAGATCATCTCAATGACATTATTAGACATCGTAAATTTTAGTCAAAGGATAATCATATTAATGGAAAAGGTTGTAGGATACCATACGATACCAGGTTTCTCATCTCAATCGAATATTGATTAATACCGGTTAATATTGGAAAGACAAAATGAAAATTCTAAAAGAAACTTTCTCGACGATTTCGAGCGATGCAGTTATCTGTTTCAAGTAAGGGAAGAGAGCCACGATATATCTTGGATAGATTGTAGTTAGATATTAGATGCTGACTCAGTGGTCTTGAGATCATATACTGAAGGTATTACTTTCAACTCTTACTAGGATCGTGGATATACACTACTAATGTTACAGAATAGGACGATGCATCATTCAACACTTCCTAATTTACAGTGATGATCCAAATGAGATCAGTCAATTATCTAAACTAGTAAAACTCAATTGTTTTCGTTTATTATTATTTTATTATTTGAACACATAAATATTGGTACAAAGGGGCACCGATCACATATGCGCCACACAAGTCACTTGGTTCGTGTATGAGCTATGATACTACGCTGGTAACCAAACCGAAGTAGGCGGTTTTCTTAGGCGGCAACTCCCCGAACTTTTGATCTACAATTCTAATCCATAAGATAATGTGGCGACGTCAGGAGATATAGTTCCATTATTATCAGGTGACCAATAATTTGTTCATGCGCCATTTGTTCCCTCTGGATCGTGGAGTCAATGTGCACCATTACTTTTGAATGAGAGTTTTCCAACTCCACCAATTAGACCATCAATGTCCATCAACCCAGTTATACCACCGGACATTCACTTTTGGTTCTCTTAATTTCGTAAACAACAGTAATTGACAGTGAGTAGGATTTCCCTGTCAGTGGCTATATACACATGTCTATATGAGAGCATTTTGAGAGGGAAAGCTAACTCTCCCGACCCTCGACCGTACCAGGGTATTTGTAGGCTTCATCAACCCTTATAATATGATTAATCATCATATAATATTCTTATATCGTTTCTGATTATTTTAGCTTCCGGAAACGTATGGAATCAAATTAAAAAATCATGGAATGGAATTATACATTCCAACAGTTCAAATGATTAATCATGGTAGTTATCGATGTAGTACCAGAAATATGGATTATATGATCTCAACTTATGATCCACATGTTATATTCAATGTAACTGTTGAAAGTAAGTTTATTCTTTTATTTTTATTCTCTCTATATATACATAAGCTCTTCTAATAACACCAGACTAAGTCTATATGACAACTTGAATACAAAAGAGTAGGAGCGATATATGGAAAGAACGCTTTATTCTAAGATTAGTTGATGTACAGTAAATTGATGGTATTTATAGTATCTCAAATGGCTTTGGGCTCCTGGAAAGTTCTGGAACCATACTCAGCATAGTAGAAATGTAATGAACAAGAACATAAGCGGGGACAATTGAATGTATTTGAATACAAAATTACTGAATGTCTAAGAACCATATAGTAAATAATTCATTTGCAAAATGTCAATTAAGCGTCTTATACTTCATTGTTCTTTCATTTCCACATCAATCATTCTTTTTTCTCGTTCTCGTTCTCTTCTCTTCTTAACCTTTTGCAGCTAGGCATTTCACTTCGACTGATTATACATACTACTGACATCTGTCAAAATCACTAGCACACTCCACAACAGGATAGGTAATCACCCAATCAAAAAATGTGATACATGACTTTTCAATTTATTGTTGTTTCTCAGAAACATCTATTCAATGCTATCCAGAAAAAATCTTTCCTAATGTTTCCAGGGTCTGTCTGGGTATTTTTCAAGGGATACTCAGGATCTACCCAGCAATTATACTGATTTTTGAAAAGAGTACAAGATAACATAACAGTACATTCTAATTCACTTGGTGTTGTTTTACATGTATATTCCCATGGTTATTTAGGACTGCAATTGATCAGTCTCATGTTAGCATATGTGCATCCTGTGTGAATTGCCTCCATATAGCCTTATGTCACAAGTTTTTTAAGCAAAGATGGATAGTGGTTAGTAGTGGAATTCAAGACGTGCGTTTCGTCCTATTTAGGACTCTTCAGTTAGATATGTTTGCATATCAGAGTTGATGTTCACTATGGGACTCAAACTCAACACTATTCTCTTCAAACGCCATTGAGTTATCTATTTATCTACTGAATTCTGATAGCTATTTGCTTTTGCAATAAGGTGAAGTTATAGCCACCATCCATCTTCGCTTCAGGCAATATCAAAACAGTCCTTAAAGGATGTACATATATCAACAAACAACTGATTAATTGCAGTCTTAAATAACAAAGAGAAGATACAAGTAAAACAACATCAATTGAACCTACATATAATTGCTCATGTAATAGATACATGCCTAATTGATTTTCCTTTTAACATTAAAAAAAGTCAAAAAACAAATCATTCAAACGAATATTCAAAGGAATAAAAGACCTGGAAAAGAAGATATGATTAAATAAGTATTATATTAATAGATCAAACGAAGACAGACAGCTATTTCCCTTTTGTATAGATAAACTAGGCTTCAAAGGGTTGATAGAAATAACTTCTACAAAATTTCAAAATCATAGATTAAGTATATATTAGTGCCCACTTGATATCCTGTTTCCAAGAGATGCCTAGAAATTGAGTTACTGACTTTTACCATTACTGTTTAGCGAAGGCTTTTGGGAACAATCTCCAAAACTCCATTTTGAGAGGGGATTCTTGAAGTTCTAGTGAGAAGCCATGACCATTGGAATTCAATCTGTATCAGGTAGGGACAATGGAAGATGGTCTTGCAGTTTCGTGGACTGGTTCAGGTTAGATATTAACACTGTCGGATGCCGGATCAGTGATCTAGAAATTAGGCATGCGTATGAGATCGTGGACAAGCACTTCTGAGGAGTACCAAACTAGAACGAAATGGCATTTCGATGTTTCCAGGTTTTCAGTTATAGTCTAACATTGATCAATTCATGATCTCAATCAAAACTCAACAATCCCCACAACTTCATTCTGATAATCTAAAATAGACCTTCCTTTTCTGTTTATTACTATATAGCTGATTTAACGGACAAATTTAGTGGTAGATTAAATTACGGGTACCAGTCAATTTGTGATCGATTTGCTGAACACGTTTTATGCTAGAGCGTTAATCTGGTTATAATGTAGGTTTTATTTAATCCAGTATAGATAGCGAGACTATAATTTCTGTACGACCGTTGAGCAACGACGCGTTTGTAACCGTGTAAATGTCCACTGAATAACTAGGACTAAATGCGGGTTATAAATCACTTCGGAGAATAAGTTGATGGTTAGGGTTAGGCACTAGAATCATGATTTTCATCACAAACTGACATCAGTCAAAATGCCAAAATACTATTTAAACAAATGAATACATGAATTCTGCGCCAAAATCCGAGACTTGTGATCTTATATCTTATTGGTTTGCTTATCTATTATAGACTAGCCCTACAGGTTTTCTTAAGACTGAAGGTAGGAAATGCTAGAGCATACAAATAAAGAATATATATCGAGGTTCTACATCACATTTTTCCCTTCACTTGCGACAAAAATATCGTATTTTGAAACAACACTTTTTGTAATCAAAGATAGATAATGGCTACCAATGGAATACAGTCCCGAATAACAATGAAATGGTAAAAGTAAAACAACACTAAGTGAATTTAAACTTAAGTCCATTGCACAAGCAGATGGCTATCAGAACTCAGTAGCTAAGTGGATAATTCGATAGTGTTTGAAGGGGATAGTACTGGATTGGAGTCCTATAGTGAACATCAACTCTGAGATGCAAACACATTTAATTGAAGAGTCCTAAGTAGGACGAAACTCGTGTCTTAAATTCCACTACTAGTCACTATTTATCTTTGCTCTAAAAGCTTGTGACTTAAGGCTATATGGAGGCAATTCACACAGGATGCACATATGCCAACAAGAGACTGATCGATTACAAATAAAGCAACATCAAGTGAATTTTAACTTTAGCCCATTACAGAAGCAGATGACTATCAGAAATCAATATCTAAGTGGATAACTCAATGGCGTTTGAAGTGAACGGTAATATGTTCGAGTCCCATAGTGAATATCAACTCTGAGATGCAGGTACATCTAACTGACGAGTCCACTGCTAACCATTATCGATCTTTGCTTAAAAAACTTGTAACTTAAGGCTATATGGAGGTAATCCTCATAGGATGCACATATATGCCAACAAGAGACTGATCAATTGCAATCTTAAATAACAATGGGAAGATACAAGTAAAACAACAGCTTTTATGTTGTTTTTTTTTATCATTAACCTGTGAACTTGCAGTTTTACTTGTATATACATTTTATTTGTTTGTTTGTTTTTGTTACCAGGTAAACCCCAATTTGCTGATTATCCTAAAAATACAATATTACCAGAAAATAGTAATATTATATTACGTTGTAGTATTAATAAAGAAATTACAAAACCATTAGCAACATTAAATTGGTTGATAAATGGTGAACCAATTGAGAAATATTTAAATAGTTTACGTAAAATTGGTCAAAATAATGTAAGTACTTTAATGAATCACATTGGTTTCTATGATTTATATTAAAGTCTATTGTACACTATGAGGTAGTTCGGTTTCATAAATGATAGTATCTATCGTGAGTGAATATCTTGATGTTATCTCTAATTTAGATCATGGTTAGTACTGTTGAAAGAATAAACATCATAACTATTGAATTATTGGATGGTTATCTGAACTCATTAGCATAGTGGACAATGTATCAGTGTTTAGGATGATAGATACTCAATTTAGAGATGTATGAATATCAACTATTGGATGAAGGTCATTCAACTGATGAGTACTAAGCAAGACGAAACTTATGTTCTACATTCTAGTGTTAGATAAAATTCAAACGTGTCAAAAGTATTGAGGACGTCATTGTTCATGAAGTTCATACTTGGATACAGTCCTGATATATACGTTATTGTTCTATTTCTGTTTAAGTCTTATTCAACAGAATTATAGGAAACATTAATCAGTCAACTTTTCAATTATTATTGAAAACACCGTTGGATGCCGGCTCAGTGGTCTAGTTGGTTAAGCGCCTGGCGCGAGACTGATAGGTCCTGGGTTCGAATCTCGCGAGGAGCGGGGTCGTGGATGCGCACTGCTGAGGAGTCCCATACTAGGACGAAACGGCCATCCAGTGCTTCCAGGTTTTCCATGGTGGTCTAGCTTCAATGGATTCATGATTTCAACCAGTGAAATTTCTAAAATCTCCACACAATCCTTTCTGATATTGAAAAATCATCAGTAAATATTACTTAAACCATTAAATTCAGTAAATTAATATTTGCTTTCCTAAATTCTTTTGTTTGATCTGTTTAATCCATATACTACTCATAGACATTATTCAGTACGCTGTTATTATTAGCTTGAAAAAAGATTCACATAAATTTATCATTCAAAGATAATTTATGAATAAGTGATTCCTTCTCATATTTATAGCAAATTAGTAGCGGTCAAACCAAAATGTGGCATCAGTCCACAAATTCACTAACTTCTAGTCTGAGCCATGTTAGTAGATCCGGACCATTTGATTGGTATCCATGTGATTCTGGGTAACATCGTGTAGGTGTATACACTCTCTGTCATCCCTTAAACTATAAGAATAAAATTACCTATAGTAATAATAAAGATTAGAATGAAGTGAATTTCTATCATTCATCATAATATTGAAACATTCTTCTGTAACATTATCGTTATAATACATTCGATGAGACTATAATCTATAAACGAACCAATCAGATTTAAGATATCAAGTTTTGAATTTTGGCGCAAAATTTATTCATTCATTTAGCTTAAGAGTCTATTGACATTAATGTTTGATGTTAATTCATGATGAAAACTTTAAATCTATATTCTAATCCTAATTTTTCATACTAATCTATAACTCTAGTAAGTAGATGGACATTCCAAGGTTGTCCATAAATTATAGTCTCACCGAATTTCGGCATTTCATAGTGGTACTCATCAGATGATGATAACAAATTGAGTTAAGCAAAGACAAATGAGAAAATGGAATGTAACATTTTTGTATTTTGTTTGTTTGTTTTTTTTGTTTATTTATTGCTTAATTGAACAATGAAGAGTCATTAATCTTAACTTCATTGTTATTATATAAATTTATTTTATTTATTTATTGATACAAGAAGGCATCAACTATATATATTCACCAAATTGTATCATTCGATTCGCTTAAGAGTTAAAATACCATCCGGTTGTCTAAACCAAAACAGATGGCTTTCTTAGGAGGGCCAAAACAGCAGCTCAACAAGATAGTGGAGCAATGTAAGGAGATGCAGTTTTATGATAGCCAGTCACCAACAACTGGTTCACATACCATTAGTTGTCTCAGAATCCTGGAGCCACTGTGCATTATTGGTTTTGAATTAGTGTTTTACAACTCCCCTAAGCGGAAACCTTCCAATATCAACCCACTCGGTTAAAGTACCAAACATTCACTTTTCGTTCATTCAATATATACAAATGATTAATAATCTATATGTGGTTTGTTTAGTTTGTATAATTGTATAAAACTGATCTGAAATTTGTAAAGAAACATGGGAAAGATTTCATTAAGCCCCCCCACACGTCTTCCAGCCGAAATCAATATGATGAAGCCTATTAGGCCTTTTTGGAAAATCGGCTACATTGAAGCATGGCACAACTACCGTGGCAGAATAGATGTTTTTGCAGTTAAAGTTGTGATATTTTTCTTTGTAGCACTCGTTATCATTTATGGGTATCGGTCGAGTAGATGATGAGTCCTGTCTCTATCACTTAGTTTAACGCTTACGTTAATCCATGGGACTACGTCCCAATATCCAGGAAGCACAACGAGGACGTGTGAGTCAGGTTTTACCTCCCTCATTAAGGTAAAAATAATAATAATTGTTATATTCAACGAAAAGTGACAAGTGAGATAATGATATATTATTGAATTGATTCTAATATTAAAATCAATAAAACTGATTTATCTTTATTAAAATAATGAATACTTACCAATATCAATATGATAATTAGATGATAATGTTTCTAGTTTAAAGTTTATTTAAGATATTTTAATAATTGAATTCATGAGTCAATTGATACAAGACCACTATGGAAAACGTGGAAGCTCTGGATCGTTGTTTCGTTCTAGTGTGGAACTCTTCCTTCGGAGTGAGCATCCACAATTCCAACTCAGGACCTATCGGTTTCGTGCGGAAGCGCCTAACCACTACACCATTAAGCCGGCCGTCATCCAACGGAGTCTCACCACCGTCTACTATTGTCTTCAGTGAGTTACTATCTCACAACACACCCGGTTGTACTCCACTGAACACGGCTTTTCACTAGAACTACAAGAAATACCTATTGGAGACCATTTCTAGTGAGCATGTGATGATTATAATTAGAGAGGGATTTTTTGCATATTATATTAATTTGAATAGTTGAATTCATGAGTCCATCAAAGCTAGACCACCATGAAAAACCTGGAAGCTCTGGATGGCCGTTTCGTCCTAGTATGGGACTCCTCAGAGATGCGCATCAACGATATTTCAGTAAAAATATGCTGTATTTATCGTGTGATAGACTGCTATCTGAATTGTGTAATCATTAGTCTTCTATTGTTTACAGTAAACGGGATTAAAAAGTTATAATATCAAGTTTCAGTGTTATTGATCTAACTGTTAATAGATTGTCAGATTCATGACTATGAATAAACATAGTGCCTCCAAATGCCCTGGTACGGTCAAGAATGGGGAGAGTTTGCTCTCCCTCTCGAAATATTTTCTCATGGACACGTGCATACAACCACTACCAGGAAAGACATATTCACTACCTTCTCAATACTGAGGTGTTGTTTACGAAATTGAGAGAAAGAAAAGCATATGTCTGATGCTTTAACCGGCTATTTGGATATAGAGGATCCACCTATGTGAGTTAAAAAAAACCTAATTCCAAGCCAATAGTGCACACGGGCTTCAGTATCCTAAAGAAACTAATGGCATATGAACCTATTGTTGTTCACCGGCTACCATGGGATTGAGTCTCCTGACGTTGCTACACTATCTTTTGGATCAGACTTTCAGGTCGGAGTCTAGAGGTGTGGCTTCCTAGTAAAACCACCTGTTTTGGTTTGGACATTATCCCACTAATCAATCAATTGTAAATCTTCAACTACTAATTTTTTATCAGAAGAGGATTTTTTGTGGAGATTTTAGAAATTTCACTGGTTGAAATCATGAGTCAATTGAAGTTAGACCACCAGTGAAATTTCTAAAAATCTCCACAATACTCCTCGCCTAGCGCGAGAGTGATAAGCTCTGGATTTGAATCTCGCAGGGGGCGAGATTGTAGACGCATACTGCTGAGGAGTTCCATACTAGGACGAAACGGCCGTCCAGTTCTTTCAAGTTTTCCATAGTGGTCTAGTTTCAAATGACTTATGATTTCAACCAGTAAACTTACTAATTTCTTATCAAATAAGTTCTATTTTACTATTATTTTATTTTGATTCAAGGCATTATATTTATACAATTTAACTGTACATGATTCAGCTGTTTATCAATGTATTCTTCATAATATACATGGTATTAATATTATCAATGCATATATTCATATATGGAATCAACCACCAGCATTTATTAATGTTATTCATGGTATACAATATATCATTGAAGGTCAACAAATCATATTACCATGTGAAACATTTGGTTCACCTCAAGCTATAATTCATTGGTATCATAATAATAAACAATTAAATACTATTGATCCTATTATGAAAGATGATTACATCATAGAAGTTAATGGTAGTCTTCATATTTTTGTAAGTTGATTCGATAAGATTGATGATTCTCATAGTATTATTCTGTTAGAATAGGAGTAATCTTGAAGAAGAAATGAATATATGGTATTAATCTATAAAATCATTAATTGTTAGATTAAGTCATATAGATATGTGCAGATCCCTTGGTGATTATAGTATTCAATGGTTGGAGTTGTTCGATGATATTAGTCAGAATCGTTTGTAATCGGGTAGATGAAGCCATATACATATTGTTGTAACTTGTGAACCTGTATGCCTTGTTTATTGTATAATGCAAAGATACCGCCAATCAGAGAGCAGTGAATTATCGATTGGACCACTGACGCATAAAACACATACACGAGCAGCTTAGAGTCCTGATTGGTACTGCTTTCCGCTTAGCCTAGCCAGTTAAGTCCAGAACACCAATCTCAGCCTTTGCAATATAAATCATGTATTTCAAGCATACTGGGTTTATATATCAACCAGACAGACTACATCGTACCATAAAATGGAGAATAACATTTGTACAAGTATTAGCCAAATGTGGCTGTGAGTAAGGGAGATAGTAACTGATAGACAAGCCATAACGCAAGAATGGTAAATCGTATAATAATAGTCTATGAGACGATATAAAGCTTATGATAAGAGGAATACGAATATGAATAGTTTAGTTACTTAACAATTATACAATAAGAATATACGTATAGTATTGGTTCATAAACGGATCTCAAAAAAGTTACCATTCATTATTCTTATCGGGATATAACAGATATGTGCAGATCCCTCGATGATTATAGTATCTAATGGTTGAAGACGTTGGATGATATTAGCTAGAATCGTATGTAATAGGGTCGATGTGTTCAATCTTTGTCTTAGGTTAGATCTTCAGCATCAAAATCTATCTATACATTTTTCTATATAAATCTAATCATTTCTACATATACTACCGCAACCTCTTTCCTTAGGACTTGATTTTGATAACTTTATTTTATTGTATCAATATGGTGTGGGAATTCGAGCTGATGCTCATATATTGTAGGTTCTAAACTATGCAAATCCTAAAATTCTATTGAAATGTCATAATCATTGAAATTCAATCAGGCCATTTTTGAGAGTTATCCACTGTATTTTATGAATGAGCGTACCGTAATATCGTGAACTGATTGAGATTACGCATTTACATCGATAGAGACCGCATCAATACTCCAGAGATCAAGAGTTCGCATGCGAAACCATATATATTGGATCCGATTCCTAATGGTGTGATCATGTACACACACTACTAAGGAGTTTCATCCTAGCACTGAATAGTTGTTTAGAGCTTCTTGGTTAGGGAATATATAGCTCAACCGCTGACATATTACATTAATGTCTCATAGTAAAACATTACTGTGAATAAATAGTCCAATTTAACAATTCGTGTGTAAGAATAAATGGAGAACTAATAACATCATATCATAATCATGGACTTATCTAAGTTAGACAACAAGCGCTTGTAGGTTGTTTCATTCTGGTAAGGGACTTCTCACCAGTATGTATTCACGACCCTAAAACCAAGATTCAAACTCAGGACTTCTGGTTTCACTCTCTAGCATTTAATCCCTAGAACCCCTCGCTACACCGCAACTTTGACTTCGATCTATTCACGAAATTGCATAATAATCATCAATTGTCTTCAGTGAGCTTTAACACTACAATCTGAATAGTACAACTCAATCCTGTGGCACAGCTCTGCAGGTACCGAGTACCCTAGGCTAACTATAACAGAAGATACTTTTATATATCTATAATTAAATGTAAGCCTTTTAGGTTTCATAATCAATATTGTAGCTTCGATTATCCAGTTTTCAAGGTAAATATTGAATGAAATACGGTTAAGTTATACCTCAGTTCTTTGAATATATTACCTTTCGTTAATAATCTTACAATCCAGAATGCATAAGATATACCTACATCTCAACGCTGATGTTCCTATTGAGACTAATGTGCCAAATAACATAAAACGCACATCTGGGATTTCACTGTTAACCACTAATCAAATGTATTAAAACTTTTTTTAGTAGAGATACATTGAGGTCATTTGCTCAGGATTTACATATATCAATATAGACTGTTTAATTACAGTTCCGAATATACTTATTTACTGACGCCTGTTAACCCTCGTGAAGGAGAATAGGTCAACCATTACCATTCTCTATCCAACTCTGTTCTGGACAATTCATTCAAGTTGTTTCCAGTCTACTTCGAATTCTCGATGAATTGTGTTGTCGGATCGTCCTCTCTTCCGTTTCCATCCAGGATTCCATGATGTAGTTTGATGATTTACTTAATGTATGTCCTATTCACTTCAACTAGAAGCTGAACTGTTCTCTCCTACAGTAGACTATAAATTACAAACTTGTATTACATAATACTGATAAATCTTAATTAAGATTTCAATAATACAAGTACTTCTCTTCTTGATTGAGATCATGAATCCATTGATGTTAGACCAACATTGAAAACCTGAAAGCACTAGATGTTCGTTTCATCCTATTTTGAGACTCTTCAATACTGCACATTCACGATTTCGCTCGCAGGACTCGAACCTAGACCCTAAATTCATGTTTTCAATCGTGATCTAATATCAATCAATTCATGATCTCAATCAAAAACTTATTAATCTCTATAATTCTATACTGATTCTTCTTTTCTCTTTTCATAATATAGCATGCTAAACTATCACATAGTGGTACATATATATGTAAAGCATCAAATATATTTGGTATATCTCAATCAACAGGGAAATTATTCATTAGAAAACAGACACGTATTATATCTGGTCCATTAATTGAACAAAATATCAATACAAATACTACTTATAATAGCAATAATAGTAATAATAATAATAATAAGAGAATAAATATGAAATATCTTATAGAAGGATCTAAAATTCATTTAACATGTAAAGTTGAAACAGATCCAATACATGAAAATCAATTGAAGATCATATGGAAAAAGTAAGTTCTATAGATTTAAATGGAAGATTATTATTGTTGTATATCTAGAAGCTTAGATGTTTCATATTACCACGTATCACTTGTGGCTCTTCTATCGCACACACAACAACAAATGCAGGAGAAGACAACCAGTGTAACTGTAGCCTCAGCAGCAATAGGTCTCAATATACACAAAGGGAAAAGCAAGATTCTTCGATACAACACAACATGTACCAATCCAATCACAATTGACGGAGAAGCTTTGGAAGATGTAAAAACCTTTACATATTTGGGCAGTATCATCGATGAACACGGTGGATCTGATGCAGATGTGAAGGCACGGATTGGCAAAGCAAGAGCAGCATATCTGGGACTCAAAACAATTAGCAACCAACACCAAAGTCAGAATTTTCAATACAAATGTCAAGACTGTTCTACTGTATGGCGCGGAAACCTGGAAAACTACGAAATCCATCGTCCAAAAGATACAGGTGTTTATTAACAGTTGTCTACGCAAAATACTTCGGATCCGTTGGCCGGACACTATTAGCAACAACCTACTGTGGGAGAGAACAAATCAGATCCCAGTGGAGGAAGAAATCAGGAAGAAGCGCTGGAAGTGGATAGGACACACATTGAGGAAAGCACCGAACTGCGTCACAAGACAAGCCCTCATATGGAACCCTCAAGGTCGAAGGAAGAGAGGAAGACCAAAGAATACATTACGCCGAGAAATGGAGATAGATATGAGAAAAATGAACAAGAATTGGATGGAACTAGAAAAGAAGGCGCAGGACAGAGTGGGTTGGAGAATGCTGGTCGGCGACCTATGCTCCATTGGGAGTAACAGGCGTAAGTAAGTAAGTAAGTACGTATCACTTGAACACTGGAACTTTAGAATCCTTTCAAGCCACAAATGAGACAACAGAAGAAGACTGAAAAAATTGCTTGTTGTGTATTTATAAATATTAACATTTGTTCAATCCATATTATCATTCAACCAATCGATGAAGAGGCATCTTAATGTTATTGACCAATAATAACATGGCATATTGATATTCTAGAAAACTTTACTGTGTTCTGATTGGATGAAACACTTCGATTGTTCTAAGGCCTCTAGACGCTCCATCATAATTCTTGGAAGTTGTCCCAACTATTATGATTGAATAATATTAGATCTTTTCTATTTATCTTTATTGATTAGATTACATTCGTTGTAATTGAGGTATCTTGTAATGATTTATGTTTCTTATTCAGGATTGAATGATAAATGAGTTCTTATGTGTTCCAAGTAAGATCGAACTTGTGTATATAGAATTCTATGTGCTAGTTACTATTCAGAAATATAACAAAAGATAATATATCACTGAAACATAGGTTGATAATACTTAATCTTGAACACCCCAAGTTTGGGAAACACAAATCCTAACGATAATAATAGTAATGAATAATATATTATAAGAATTGAATTAATTTCAAAAGGGATTTTTCTGGATATTATAGTAATTTCAATAGTTAAGATCATAAGTCACAGTAGACTATAAATTACAAATCTTTACTGATAGGTCCTGGGTTCGAATCCCGCGAGGCGGGATCGTGGATGCACACTGATGAGGAGTCCCATAATAGGATGAAACGCCTGTCCAGTGCTTTCAGGTGTTCCATAGTGATCTAGTTTCAATTGACTCATGATTTCAACTATTCAGATTACTATAATATTCACAGAAAACGATTATCTATTTAATAATAAGGTATAAGAATTAGTTTAAACTGAACATAACTAACATAACCACATTCTATAAGAAATTTCGGTGAGACTATAATTTATGGACGACCTTTGAGCGATGTCAAACTGACCTCGTGAGTATCTACTTACGTATTAGGGCTAAATGAAGGTTATAAAACAGTTTGAAGAATAAGGATTATGATTCACAGTTGATGGTTTGGGTTAGGAACTAGATTTACGATTTTTCATCATGGACTGACATCAGGTAAAACGCCAAGACGCTGTTTGGCCAGATAGAAGAGTGGATTGGGATGATATAAATTAGTTTGACAGGCTTCTGAACAGCAGTGAACAGTCATTTTGTTCTCATATGGAACTTAACAGAAGAACCCATCTACAACTCTGCATTAGAGAATCGAACTCAAGACCCATGATCTTGTTCGAGTGGGCTTAAACTTTAGACCACTTAGCTTAAATTCGACAATGTTAATTCCTAACTTCATTTAGTCGACGACATTTCTCAGCCCTTATCCATTACAAATAGAATTCAGTCAATGCTATGCATTTTTGTTAGCTTGCAGGTCTATCGATCTTCCTTAGAGATCAATTTTATCTGCTTTAGCATCAAAATAATGAATGAGAATCTGTCATACCTTGTGAAAATCCATTATTAAAGGACTATATTCTTGCGTAGATTTTGTTGAAACTGTTTTCATGAAACAACTGCACGGTAGTTCGTTCTATTCTAATGTATGACTGTGGAACGTGGTCATTAAGAGTAGAACATACTCCTAAGCTACAAGTATTTGACCGCAGAAATATTGCTCGCATATGTTGAGATTACCGGGTAAGTAGTATTAGAAATGATGGTAAATCAGTTGATGAGATTGTATATCTTCATCGACTGAAATAGTTGGGCCACGTGTTACTTATGCTCAACTACCGACTATCACGACACACAGTGCTGACTAGTGTTGGGGATGATTGGAATAAAGTTAGGAGTGGCCAAACAAAAACGTGGTATCAGTCCACAAAGTCACTAACTTCTAGTCTTAGCCAATTCCGTAGATCCGGACCACTTGGTTGGGGTCCACGTGACTATCGTAACCAATGGCTGGAGACTCTGTGTGATATATGGCTCAGAATCGATCACAATGGTGTAGGTGTATACACTGTCTATCTTCCCTTAAACTATGAGGTTAAAATCGCTTCATGCTTTCTTATCTGCGATCTAATTCTTTCTTGCTGTACTATATCCTTATATGCAATCTTTCTTTTATATATTACCACCATTAAATTAACTACTTCTATGAATCCTGTGTTCATCTTGTTGTGCTAATAACGTATGGCAACGTAAACCGATGCATATATGTGCCTGGTTGTACGTTGTCTCTGACTGACTGATTATCTTGATTTGCCTAGACGGTAGATTGATTTCCTTCGGAAACTTCATTTACTAAAATGTTATATAAAAACATATTGTCCCTTAAATCTAATTCATGATTACCCATAATTCAAAATAATCATTTCATCATCGTTTATTGTATCTGACTCTGTTTCAGAGATAATTTGACTCTTCTAGATGCTTTTGAACATAATGATCGTCTTAATGTCACATCATCAAAAAATGAAAGTTTAATAATTATAAACTTGATACCAAGTGATACTGGAATCTATACATGTATCGCTAGTACAAAATTGGACAGTGTGAATTCTTCCATTCATCTTATAGTTCAAGGTAATCAAACATATATTTTGTACTTCTTTTTTTTTTTCTTTCTGAGATTTTAAAAGGACTAACAGTAAAGTTTTGAATTGAATCTAAGTTAGATCACTATTGAAAACCTGGAAGCATTAAACAGCTATTTCGTCTTAGTATGGAATTCCTCAACAATGCTAGGCACGACCCTTCACCAAGAAGAGTCGAGATCAGAACCTTTGACCTTTCACGAGAACATTTAACCTCTAGATCACATATGTGTCATCCACCGATAATAATGTCTAGTTTTAATTAATCTATGACATTGCTCGATCGTCTTTCATTGTATTCAGTGGGTAACTGCCTATCTATTAAGTAAACCTCATATGTATATATTCAGTTTTGCTGAATTTTATTTATTTATTTATCTTAACACATAAATATTGGTACAAGGAGGCACCAAATACACATGCGACACACAGATCTAATTTGATATGTGTGTCAGCTGTGATACTGCCCAGGTGCCCAAACCGAAGCAGGTGGTTTTCTTAGGGAGCCACACCCTGAGCCTTTGACCTGAAGATCTGATCAACAAGGCAGTGGAGCATCGTAAGAAGATGCAGTCCCATGGTAGCCGGTGACCAACGATTGGTTCATACGCCATTTGTTCCTTCAGGATTCTGGAGCCCATGTACACCTTTGGTTTTGAATCCGTTTAAAGTGCCGGACGTTCGTTGTTCGCCCTCTCATTTTCGTAAACAACATCCCCGCCACGAGAAGGTAGTGAGTAGGACTTCCCTGGCAGAGGCTATCTACGTGTGGCCATGTGAGAGCATTTGGAGAGGGAGAGCGGACTCTCCCCACTCTCGGCCGTACCAGGTCATTTGCTGAAAGCTGAGTAAATAAACTTGTACTTAGTAAGTGAGGTCTGTCAAGATACTTAGTAAGTAATAGTCAACCAAAACATGTAGTTCTTACGATATACACAGAGAGTGGTAGAGAATTTCGAAAATAACTAATATCAAATTAAGTGTACCAAAGATGATATATATGAGAAAGGATTACTCTTATCTACAATAGAGGCAACATTTGATAAGAATAAAAGCGTATTGTTTTAAAAGATGTACTTCATAAATCATTTTGTCTAAATATTTTTCGTAGAGATTTGAATTGATGTAAACCTTGTTTGTTAAATTATATAACTGTTCCTTCCTGAATGTTTGCTGAAACAATCATACAATGAATTTACTTCGATTTGAAATCTACAGCCCCCAAATACCACGGTATGGCCGAGGGTGGAGAGAGTTACTTCTCCATCTCTAAATGCTCTTACATGAATACGCGTATACAGCCACTGTCAGGGAATTCCTACTTTCTCGTGGCGGAGTCGTCGTTTACGACATTGAGAAGACAAAAAACAGAATTTCCGATGCTTTAACGGGCTTTGTGGATAGAGAGGATCCACCTAGGTGAGTTGAGAAACCCTGATTCCAAACCAATGGTGCACATGGTCTTCAGTATCCTGAAGGAACAAATGGTGTATGAACCAATTATTGGTCATCGGCTAACATGCGACTGCATCTCCACAGGTTGCTTCACTGTCTTGTGGATTAGATATTTAGGTGAAAGTCTTGGAGTGTGACCTCCTAAGAAAAGCATTTGTTTCGTTTGGGTACCCGGATAATATTCCATCCCTCATACAAATCGAATGATTTATGCAGCGTATGTCTATTTGATGCCTTATTGTATCAATATTTTATGTGTTTAAATAAAATGGGACGAAACCGCCATCCAGTGCTTTTAGAATTTTCAGAGTGGTTTAGCTTCAATTAACTCACAATCTCAACTATTAAAAATTACTATAATATCCACAAAACCCCTTCTAATGTTAATCAACATATGCTCACTAGTGACCGGGTTCAAGAGATATTTCTTGGAGTTTTAGTGATAACCACTGACCGATGGAGTTCACCCGGGTCTGTTATGAAATAGTAACTGGCTGAAGACAATGGTGGATGTGTCGCTCAATTTCGTGGTTTAGTAGAATTCAGACGTTAACACCGTTTGGATGCTGGATGGCTAAGTGGTCTACAGGTTAAGTGTTCACGCGCGAGACTGATAGATCGTGATTTCGAATCTTGCGAGACGGGATAGTGGAGACGCACTGCTGAGGAGTCACACAATAGAACGAAACAGCCATCTAGTGCTTCGAGAATTTCCAAGATGATCTAACTTACATTGATTCATGATCTCAACTATTTAAAAATTGCTAATAATATCCACAGAAACCCCATTCTAATATAAAATAGAATACAATTAAAACACTTCAGTCAGTCATCAACGTAGAACTATGTACGTACGTACATCATTTCGAGTTGCCGTACCACATTTGTACAGAGATACAATTGTCGATTCAAATCCCGTGATGGTAGAGGTAGTAAAAGTGTAAGCAGTAATCAGAAACATTATAACTTTTACTATTGTTTGAACACATAGATATTGGTACAAGGAGGCACCAGATACATATGTGCTACACAAATCTAAGGAGATTTGTGTAAGGGTTGTGATACTACCCGGGTGCCCAAACAGAAGAAGGTGGTTTTCTTAGGGAGCCACAGCCGGAGCTGCCGAACCTAAAGGTCTGATCCATAAGGCAGTGGAGCATCGTAAGGAGATGCGGTTCCATGGTAGCCGGTGACCAACGATTGGTTCATACGCCATTTGTTCCCTCAGAATACTGGAACCCATTTGCACCATTGGTTTGGAATCGGGGTTTTTCAACTCCCCTAAGTGGAATCTTCATGTCAACCAATCCGGTTAAAGCACTGGACATTCGCTTTTCGTCCTCTCAGTTTCGTAGACAATAGTAATGCCAAGAGAAGTCAGTGAGTAGGACTTTCCTGGCAGAGGCTATATACGCGTGTCCATGTGAGAGCATTTGGAGAGAGTGAGCGGACTCTCCCCACTCTCGGCCATACCAGGGCATTTGGGGGCTGTCTGAAACATTTGGGTTTGAAGATGACATTCAAGGAGTATAATCCAGTAAAATAAATTTCGAAGGAGAAAAAAAAGTAAGGACATGAAGAATTCGGATGATCAGAATTTGGGAGAATACAAAGAATGGATTCACCTGCGCTATTGCAAACGATTTTGAGCCATATCATTCAAGATCTCTAACCATCCGTTGCCATCCCAACCAAAGTAGTCTACACCTACCAACATGACTCAATTCATTTTTTAATAACTTCATGAATTTTCGACATATTTTATTCTTAATTTCTTTTTGCTAATTCTTTTTAGGTCGTCCAAAACCTCCAAAATCAATAAAATTATTATGTAATTATCATAATCAATTATCACCATATATTATGTTAACATGGGAATTTGATGAAACATATTATACACCAATTGATAAAGTAATTATTACTTATATTACTGGATTTTATCGACCTATAGAAGATTATTCAATATCAAATCAATATAATCAATCAATCAATAATAATAATAATAATGATCATAATCATAATAATCATAATCATAATCATCTATATTGGTTAAATAAAACAACATTATCTATAGCTCAATCAATAATCAATCAATCAATAATAAAAAATCAATGGAATATAATTGATCTTATACCAGAAATGAAAATTATTGATTATTTAAAGCATAAAAATCAATCCTTACGTCATTATAATAATACTATTACTACTATTACTACTACTACTAATACTAGTACTACTTATAATAATAATAGTAATATAATTGAATTACCTAAATTACCATTGAATATAGGACGTGCTTTTATTCAATTAAATTATGATGTAATTTATCATTTTCGTATTGAATTATTAAATCATATTGGTAAATCATTACCAAGTGATATTATACCAAAATTATCAATTGAATCTAATGAATTATGTATATTACCACCAATGCCAACATTAATAAATCCAGATTATTTAATAGTATATGGTAATAAACCAAATAATTTAATTATACAATGGAAGGTAATGTATAATATGTAATCATTTTGATAATATGCACTAGATATTCATGTATGTAGATTTGATGTGAGATTGTGAATATGCGCCTTCAAATACCCTGGGGGGGGGTGAGAGTCATCTCTCTCTCTCTCTCCAAATGTTCTCACATGGTCACGTGTATATAGCCTCTGCCAGGGAAGTCTTACTCACTAACTTCTCTTGGTATTACTGTTGTCTATGAAATTAAGAGAACGAATAGGGAATGTTCGGCGATTTGACCGATTTGGTGGACAAGGAGAGTTCATCTAAGGGAGTTGAGAAACTCTAATTCCATACAATCGTTGGTCACCGGCCACCATAAGACTTCATTTCTTCACGATGCTCCAGGTTCGACTACTCCGGCTGTGGATCCCTAAGAAAACCACCTTCTTCTGTTTGGGCACCCGGGTAGTATCACAACCCTTACACAAATCTAAGGAGATTTGTGTGGCGCATATTTATCTGGTGCCTATCTATGTGTCAAAATAAAATAATAAATACATAAAGAAATAAATAAATTTCAGTAGACTTGGGACAGTGTTTTGCGCACTAGAATCATTGACCATGTTGATACTTGAGGAGGAATCCAAAAGAGGGAGTTTAGTGTTGAAGGTCGCTGTAGGAAGAATAATGGGAACCAAAGAAAGAGGTTGATTATGAATACTGTGGTCTTCAGTGCAGTTAGAGGTATGAGGGCAGTTATCACTTTCTATCACCGCTTCTATGATTCCGGTGTTCGTTTTGCTGTGCTAATGAGGTATGGCAACTTGGATCGCTGCATTTATGTGCCTTGTCCTACGTTGTAACCGACTGACTGACTGATATATCAATACGTTATCTAAGTAAGTTTCTGAATCAATATAATTACCAATTTGTTTAGTTAATATGACCTTTTTATAATTTAGAAGGGTTTGTTTACAGCCCATTTCAATGGTTGAGATCATGAGTCATTTAAAGCTAGATCATCATGGGAAACCTGAAAGCACTAAACGCCCATTTTTCGTTCTAGTGTTGGACCCCTCAGCAGTGCGCATCCACGATCTCGCCCCCCCCCCACGTAATTCGAACCCAAAACCAACCAGTCTCGCGCGTGAGCGCTTAATATATAGACCACTTAGCCGGCCAGCATCCAACAGTGTTAATATCTAACTTCAATTGACTCATAATCTCAACCACTGAAATTACTATAATATCCACAAAAACCCTTCTGATACTATCCATTTGTTGATATATTCAGAATTAAAATTGATCATAAGGTAATATATGATCTCCTTACCAACTGAATAACTCAGTATTATCTTTGATTACAAGTTGTATTACATTTCTAGAATGACTAGTTAATAGAAACCACGAAACATGTTACATACAATTGTAGATAGATTAAAATCAGTATAATTTCTTAGATGGTTGGAAGTAGTTTACAAGAAATCTAACTTCATCTAAGTCTTTGTGAAAGTTAGTTCACGGTTAGCAAGGTGTACCTATGATCTTGAGTGGTATGGTGTTCCCTATGGAATTCTAACCCTTATTACCTAGCTTTATAGTTCGAGACGTTACTGATGAGTATTACAAAACAAAGCTAATCTTCTATGGGATTGAGATATTTAGGTTTGTTAATCACTGAGTAGCAACTAATTTCCTGGTTTTTTGGTCCTTAACATTGATTGGGTTCAAAGAACTGATTTCCAATGTGGGCAATGGTCTAATCGACTCAGTATCCTGTACACAATGCTGAGGTGTTAGTTGGTTGATAGCATTCAACAAGAAACTATATAAGGATTGTACTGGAGTCTCTTACTTATTCTGATGACTATTTCCAACGACCTAACATTTCAATATAGTGCTCTCTGTTTCTACTAATATAGACTATTATGCATATTGAAACTTAATCGATCTAATTCAATCCGTATATAAGGAACATGAGATTGGTCACTACTCAATGATAAGCTAGTTGTAATTATAACTAACTGGTGAAACAAAGTATGACAGTTCTGCAGACGTTAATCAATATACGTTACAGAATAAGGACGAAAGGAAATAATGCAATGGGAAAATAAGGATATTTTCCTCTTCCCACGTTATACTACTCATATACAATTCTATTATCTATGACCAACAATGTACTACCACTAGACTGAATATTTGAGCAATACCTTAAATACATACGCCAGATACATGATTCCAGACCAAAAGTAGGGGGACAGAGTATACCTTAGATCATACTTAATTCAAGCAGTCAACATTCAGTGAATCCAGAGTAGAGAGACCAACAAAATGAAGAAAATCACATATAATTTATGTCTGTTAGTTCCCACTCAGTGACAAATTACATCTCGTTTTCGCTGAACACATATCAAATTGTGATCAGATTTAGATCAGTTTGTTTATTATCAAGTTGTCATCATATATATAAAAGTATTCATTGCTCAAAATGTTGACAATGAAACTACAAATATATTGGCTGTCACCATTGGTATCCATGACTGACTGAGGTAATTCTCGAAGTTCTATTGAGAAACTGTGACCAATGGAGTCCAATCCGTTTCGGGTAGAGATAATTTCGTGGATGGGTTGAATCTAAACATTAACACCATTAGATACCTGCTCAGTGATCTAGAGGCTAGGAGTTCGCGCGTAAGACCAAAGATCTTAAGTCGGAGTCCTTTTGGTGTGGGATCGCGAATACGCACTACTGAAGAGTCCCGTATTGGGACGATACGCCAGTCCATTACTTCCAGGTTTTCAATGGTGCTCTAACACTGATCAATTCATGATCTCAACCAAAACTCAACAATCTCCATAATCCCATACTGATAAAAAGTGATGTGAAAGAGGGATAATTAGTAACATAAGATAGATTTAATGAAATGTCAAGTGAAGACTTCTGTACATACTGTTGATTACAGAATTATAGTAATATTAATACTTATTGAAGATAGAATAGATGCATTTTTTGTATTATCGAAAGTATTTGCATATTCTTTTGTGCGAAGCAATACAATTACCCAGTAATTGTCAGCAACATACAGGATGCACATATGGCAATAACAGACTGATCAATTACAGTCCTAAACATCAATCGACAGATTCAATTAAACAATATCAAGTGAATTTAAAACGTCACCTCGTTGCACAAGCAGGTGGTTATCACGACTCAATAGTTACATGTATAACACTAGAGCGTTTGAAGTGAACGGCACTTGGTTCGAGTCTCGGAGTAAACATCAACTGTGAGATGCAGATAGATCCAGCTGACGAGTCCCAAATAGGACGAAACACGCGTCTTGGATTTCACTGTTAGCCACTATTTATCTTTACTTTGAAAAAAACCATACTTACCTATCACATGTTAAAACGTTTTTTCTTTTATTTTAAACACAGCCTTTGGATCCTGTTCAACATAATGGTCCTGGTTTAATATATCGTTTAACTATTCATTGTATGGATTGTATTTATGGTCCATCAAAAGATGTATTCAATTATACAATAGTTAAAAATTGGTCTAAAGATAGAATAGAATTAACGGAATTGATTACATCAAAGGTATCAGCAAATATGAATGATCCAAATCAATTTGATAAATGGAATATAGAATCATTTCGTACATATCAGGTAAGAATTAAGTTAGTGTATGGTTAATGAATAATTCACTGGTTGAGATCATGAGTCAATTGAAGCTAGACCACCATGAAAAACCTGGAAGCAATGGACGGCCGCTTTGTCCTAGTATGGGACTCCCCAGCAGTGCGCACCCGCGATCCCCCCGCGGGATCCGAACCCAGGACCCACTAGTCTCGTGTGCCAGCGCTTAACCATTAGACCGCTGAGCCGTCCGGCCTCCAACGGTGTTAATGTCTAATTTCAACTAATCCACGAAGTTGTGCTACCGTACACCATTGTCTTCGATGAGTTGATATCTTACAACAGACCTAGTCGAATTCCACTGGTCAGGGCTTCTCACTAGAACTCCAGGAGTGTCTCTTGAAGTCAGTCACAAGTGAGCAGATGATTACTATCAGAAGGGGTTTTGTGGAGATTTTTAGAAATTTCACTGGTGGTCTGGCTTCAAATGACTCATGATTTCAACCAGTGAAATTTCTTAAAAATCTCTACAAAACCCCTACAGTTAATGAATAGTTGAATAGATTTAAAAAGTTTGAAAAGAACGATATTAGATCATATCGTAGTACGATGTTCAAAACGATTATTGAACCAGTGGAAAAGATAAGGTAATATAATATTTCCATATTGAAGGTGTATAGAGTTAATCGAAGTTGGAGATATGGATTAGTGGACATCGATTTTAGGGTTTTACTAGTAACATACTTAACGAGATCCTTGAGAGTTATGAATACAAAATAAACACTAGTGTGGAGCTCACTAGTATGAACCATTATTGATTGTCTTCAAGCTTTCAATGGTTATCGATTGAGCAGATGATCTTTAAATAGACAATAGTACATAGAATTCATCTTGATTTGATGTGGTTTATGTTATTATTTATTTATTTATTTATTTGAACAAAGGGAAGACGAATACATATGTGCCATGAAAGTCACATGATTTGTGTGTGGCCTGTAATACTGCTTAGGTGCCCAGATCGAGGCAGATGATGATCACACTCCGAGCATTCGATCTAAAGGTATAGTCCATAAGACAGTAGAGCAACTTCAGAACATTCCGCTTCACGTTAAACGGTGACCAACAATAGGTTCGTACGTCATTTGTTTCCTTAGGATCCTGGAGCCCATGTTCACCACTGGATTTGAATCAGAGTTTTTAAACTCATTTAGGTGGACCCTCCATATCCACCAACCCAGTTAAAGCACCAAGCATCCGCACTTTGTTCTCTGAATTTCGTAAACAACAGTAATGCTGCGAGAGGGCTGTGAATAGAACGTTCTTATCAGTGATTGCAAGTACGCATGGCCATAAGAGAGCATTTCAAATAGGAGAGCTGACTCTATCCAATTCTCGGTCGTACCAGGGTATTTAGGAGCTTAATCTTATTAAGGGACACTTAAATTACTCCATAATTCATAGATTTTCATTAAGTTACCAATTGATTAATCAGTGACAATTTATATTGTTTTCATTGATCTAAGATAATCTTAATCGTTATCTTTTATTGACTCAAATAACTTAAAGTGATCAAAGGCAATGAACTGGTCATTTAAAAATAGTATTCTAACTAGAATTTACAGTCTTTGAATGTTACCAATGTCATCAACGTTCACAGTGTTCACTTATTGGGTGTCTTACTCACTATTCAGACACTTTTCATTCATCTATTCGGTGAATGTTGAACATCAGAGTTTGATTTTCACCAAACATTTTGCTTTAAAAGGTTTACGTTATCTGTAATTATCCATTAGAAACATATCTAGTGCAATATTCACTTGGATGTTTTACTTGTATCTTCCCAAATCAATATAACTTCATCCCATGACAGAAGCAAGTGACTATCAGGACTCAGTAGCTAAGTGGATAAAGCGATAGCGTTTGAAGTGATTTGTACAAGGTTCGAGTCCTCTGGTGACCATCAACTCTGAGATGTAGGGACATCCAGGTGAGGAGTCTCAAATAGGACGATACGCGCGTTCTGGATTCTACTACTAGCCACTATCCGACTTTCGAAGCAAAGAAACCACTTCAGAATCCGTAACAAATGAATTAAGTCAGTGTAATCATCAGTGATACATAAATCTATACCAGTGAATGAATTGATTTATACAGTGTTTAAGATTCACCTTGTTCATTGGTTGAAGAGATTCCTTAAGAAACTATCTTTGACTTAGTTTTCGTACAACATCCACCGAATACATGAATAAAAGTGTCTTAATGGTAAGACAGACAATAAGTGATGAGATGGTGGTTGGAGGTAGTCAACAGCAAACCCTGGACTCGGGTTTCGTGCTACTTGGCACTTGCCAAGTAATCTCGAAGGAACTGGTGCTCCATGACGGACTCGATCCCGTGTCACAGTCAGAGACGTTACCATTGAGCTATCCGGGCAGTGACTGACCTCCTGTAGGACTGAGATGTAATCATAAATGATTAATCACTGGGTGATTATCAATGTCATTCGGTCAAGTATTTCTTAGTGCAAATCGAATACTATTGATCAAGTTATAATATAGCCACTAATTTAGGTGACTCGACACTACATGCACTATGTTGAGATAAGATGATAGTTGAACTAGTGGCCAAATTGCAACTTGATCGATCACATTTGATCTATACTAAGAAGGACATAATACACATAACATTGATCATCACCCAGTAATCAATCCATTGTAACCCAATAAGTGAACACTGTAAGCATTAATGATATTGGTAACATTCAAAGACTAATCAATTCATTTCAATACTATTAGAATTGTAAACATTAAATTATAACTATGATACTTCTTACTTCATAGATGTTCATTGCATTGTATTGTATTGTATTTTCTAGGTTACTTTACAAGCTGAAAATTATTTAGGTTCATCTAGTATGAAACCATTAATATTTACTGGTCGTTCAGGTGAAGATATACCACAATTAATACCAATTCAATTAAGAGTTCTTTATATTGGTTCAAAAAATTTATTACTTAGTTGGAAAATAATAAAAGATTCTAATTTTTCATTAAAAATTAATGGTCTATTTCAAGGATTTCGAATTGAATGGTGTAATGCAGATTTATCAATAGATTCATGTGAATTTTATAAAAAATTTCAGGTTAGAAACTTTTTAGTTTGTAAAGGTTGTGAAGATGATTAAGTGATTGATTAAAATCTTGTAACGATTGATGTTAGATCATTATTGAAAATCTGGAAACACTGGATAGCCGTTTCGTCCTATTATGAGGCTCGTCAGCAGTGCACAACCATGATCTTGCTCGCGGGATTCGAACCCAGGGTCTATCGATCTGCTGAGTGAACGTTTAACTTCTAGACCACTGACCCGGCGGGCATCCAGTAGTGTTAATGTCTAACTTCAACTAAACCATCAAATTGAGCGATACAGTCAATATCGTCTACAGTGAGTTACAATCTCACAACAGATCCGCGAACGAGATTGTGGATGCGTACTTCTGAGTAGTCCCACAACTAGACGAAACGGCCATCCAGCGTTTCCAGGTTTCCAATGGTGGTCTAGCATTAATCGTTACTTTTTTGTTTTTCAACTGACACCTGATATTCAAATCATTTTGTGATGATGGAGAAGATCGGTAGCTCAGATGAATGATTTTGGTATAGTTTTGTTCTCTGAGTGGGATGGTTTAGTCATGGAGCTTTCATTGTTCTTCTGAATACAACATCATCAGTACAAACTTCAGGTCAGGTAGAAGTGAAGTGTTGGAATTTCTCCACATGTAGTTCATAGTTTGTTTTGTATACCTGATGTTGATTGGTTCTTGTTCACCTTAAACCTGTCATTGTTTACTTCTTTGTTTAGGTTGTATCTCCCGATTAGTTTGATTTTCGTTCCCATGTTTGTGCATAATTTCCAATCTAAATTATCAACCAATCGTTCAGAAGAATGATGAAAGCTCCACAACTAAACCATTCAGGTCAGAGAACAAAACTTCATCAAAATTGATGGATTGTGAGGAATAATTCAAGACGAAGAGAAAGTATCGAACTGGTGTTGTTTTCTTTAAGGGTGCTTAGTAGAGCACAGGAAGAATCAAATACAGAAGATCCAGATCTTATGATGATGAGGTTTTTTTCTTTACACAATTGATTTTGGATTTTCAATTTCAATTTATTCAAAGTACAACTCATGGTGAGACTATAATTTATGTACGATCTTTGAGCGATGCCAAACTGATCATCAGAGTGTCCACCTAATAACCAGAACCAAATCAGTGTTATAAATCTGTGTGGGGAATCAGAAGAAAAGCTAACATCAAGATAATTGACCTTTGATACTGTGTTCATCAAAGAGCCTTCAATGACACAAGCATTATGGGATCCCAAAGTGTTGTTTAGATGCCGTTCATGTCTGATGCTAGAGTTAACAGTTTGACATTTAAACGGATTAAGTATGAGACCATTAACATAAGATTACCGTTTAATATGAAATAAAAACTCATTCATTTCTGTGGGAAGTAAAGAGGTAGAAATCGGCATACATACAGTGAGATCATTCGCATAATTCACAAAAGTGTTCTCTGTGGAAGATGGCAGATCATGCAGAAAAAAAAAGAAAAGAAAAGATAAAAGAACGGCTCCTCTTGGGACACCTTCATCAGACAGTAGAGACGTTAAACACTTTCCTCCCTTACTTATATTTGGATCGAGAATCGAACATGTTTAATCAACCACAACAAACTTGTTCTAGTTTGATACTTTCCAGCATTAAGCATCCTCAACTCTGAATGCAGGAATCGAACCAAAATCCTTAGATATCGCAAATAAACACTTAACCTGTAGAACATCGATCTGCTATTCAGTGCTTCATAAGTCTAACTTTAACTAACATATGACACTAAGTTTCCATATTTAATTATCTTTGATTGGTATCTTCCTCACTGAGAACTTTTACAGTGTCTTATACTAGGATAAAATTGAAGTTCAATACTTCAAGGTTCTTGACCTAGGATCCTAATAAAACTTAACGATCCGGTTAAAACCGTAATGGTAATTTATTAATTACTATAGTTCAAAAATGTCTTAGCAGCAATGAGAAACATATAAAATATATGTCGGTATCACGTGACACTTCCGTATATTATAAACTGAAAGCATCCTCGAGGTTTTTTCATCGACTGGTAGTCTGTTTCCGGTATTATTAGTGATACCTTTGTAGGTTACGTCATGGGATTATTTTTCTTTCAAAATTTTCAAGTTACTTATATCCTGAATGCCAGTAACCTTGAATCATTACATATCGGCTATATATATGGATAAATGGTAGTTAAGAGTGAAATCCAAGACGCGAGTCTCATCCTATTTGTGACACGTCAGCTGGATGTACCAGTATCACAGAACTGATTTTCACTACGGTACTCGGACCCCATCACGTTATTTACTTAACTAGTGAGTTCACAAAGTCATTGACTTGTCCAATAGTGAAGATCAATAAGTAATTGAAATATCAGAAAGGGTTTTGTGGAGATTGTAGTAATTTCGCTAGTTGCGATCATGAGTCAATTAAAGCTAGACTACGATGGAAAACTTGACACCACTGGACGGCCATTTCGTTGGATGCCAGCTCAGTAGTATAGTGGTTAAGCGCTCGCGCGCAAAACTGATAGGTCATGGATTTGAATCCTGCTGTATAGGATCGTGGATGCACACTGCTGAGGAGTCCTATACTAGAACGAAACGATCGTCTAGTACTTCCAGGTTTTCCATGATGATCTAACTTCAATTGACTCATAATCTCAATAATTGAAATATATTCAATTCTTTTGTAGGCCACTATAGACAATTACCATAAAGTCCTTATAGGTTTAGTCACAAATTCTTTACTTTTCTTTCTTTTTCAAAGGATTATATTCTTGAACAACCTCCATCTTGGTCATTTCCAAATCTACGACGAATGTCATCGATAACATTTCTAGGAAATGAATTCAAGAATAGAGATATTACTATTACTACTACTACTACTACTACTAATAATAATAATAATAATGATAATAATAATCATAATAATGTAATCGATACTAAAAGTATACCAATAACTATGTCATCTACCTTAGAACATTTACATACAAATAAAAATTCAAGTATTCAATATCAAAATGATTATTATAAAGTTTATTTAAATCAATTACCGGGTAAAACAAAATTAAAAATATGGGTTCGTATACTTAATATACAATATGCTGGACCAGAAAGGTAATATTTAAAGGTATTTATAAATTATTTGAAATTAGATATTAACACCGTTTGGATGCTGATCGACTTAATGGTTTAGACGTTTAATGTTCATCAGTGAGATTGATAAGTTCTGGGTTTGGATCTCGCTATGTGGGATCGTGGATGCACAGTGATGAGGAGTACTATACTAGAATGAAGCAGTCATCCAGTACTTCCAGGTTTTTTATGGTGGTCTAGAATTATTTATTTGATCACATAAATATTGGTACAAAGAGGCACCGAATACATATACGCTACACAACTCACTTGATTTGTGTGTATGTGTGGGTGCTCAAATGGAAACAGGTGGTTTTATTGGACCTAATGGTCTAGGGAAGGGGAGCAACTTGTGGCGATGCAGTTCCATGGTAGTCGGTGACTGACAATAGGTTCATTCATCATTTGTTTACTCAGGGTCGTCGAGCCCCTGTGCATGGTTGTCCAATTCCAGCGATTAAGTCTACTAATATTTTAGCTGAAATCTGGGAGTTAGACGTAATCCTATCTGACTAGTCACAATCACTAATTGTCCCAGTATATAAAAAAAGGGTCAAAATCATCTTCGGATAAATATAGAGGGACTGATTTAACTTAGTAGCATCTAAAGTACTTGCCTCAAGAATTATCAGACGCTTAAAAAAGACTCGTGAACTGCAAACACGAAAAGATCACGCTGATTTCACACCTAGTCGTGACTGCATCGACCACATATTCACCATTCACTAAGTTTTAGAATACAAACATGCTTATCGGCGTCCGAAAATGATGGTTTTGTTAACTCGATCTTGTCAAGGCTCTTTAATCGAACACTACCAATCGAGTCAGAGCATGTGGTGAACTGTCATCTGATTTGGCAACCCCAAGCGGTGTCCGGAAAGGCTGTCAACTGTCTCCCCTTTTGTTCAACTTCATCATAGACATACTGATGGAAATAATGTTGCCGTCGACTGAATTCTCGGGCACTGATCTCGTTCCAGGAGGTCCACTTATCGACTTAGAATACGCAGATAACATAGTCCTGTTTAGTGAAGACGCTGATAAAATGCAGAGTCTTTTGAAAGCACCGGGCAACAATACCAGGATGGTAGGGACGTGTTTCTTCCCCTCTAAATGCAAATTTTTGTTTCAGAACTGGCCTACGTCTACATTTGAACTAAGGATAGAGAGTAATGTAGTCGAACGCGTCGACAAATTCACTTGTGTTGGAAGTCCGATCAGCCTTAATGGGTTGTTGTCTGACGAAATCTCTGCACGGATTCAAAAAGCTCGTTTGTTTTTTGACAACTTACGTCACCTTTATAGAATCTGAGATATTCGTCTGTCAATTAGGGGTTAGTATACTGCGTGACAAATTGTTCTATTATACTTTATGGCTGCGCAACATGGCCATTAAGAGTAGAAGATACTCGTAAGCTACCAGTATTTGACCACAGATGTCTTAGAAATATTGCTCGCATCTGTTAGCATCACCGGGTACGTATTAGTGAGGTTAGACGCAGCATATTAGGGAATAGTGGTAAATCAGCTGATGAGATGGTTCGATCATGTGTTACGTATACCTGAACATCAATTATTACGACGCGTGATGATGAAGGATGGTTGGAATAATGTTAGGAGTGTTCAAATCAAAACGTTGCATCAGTGCTTGAAGTGACTAACTTCTAATCTGATCCATGTTGGTAGATGTTGACTACTTGGTTGAGGTCCGCTTGACTATCGTAACCAATGGTTGGAGACTCTGTGTGACATGGCTCAGAATCGATCACATTGGCGTCGGTGTATGCCCTCTCTATCTTCCATTGAACAGTTACATTTAATCATAAATGTTTTTAATTATTTTATTGTAAATCTCTTTTCAATTTTTATTCCTTTTATAGTGATGCAATAATTGTCGAAACTAAAGAAGGTGTACCAGAGAAAGTATCTGAATTAACTATTACATTTATTGGTGTTAATCATATTGAAGTATCATGGATTAAGCCAATGATTTTAAATGGAAACTTAATTTCATATGATTTAGAAATATACTTAAGTATGTTAAATTGTTTTAGTTGCCGGGTTAACCATCCCTCTCCCTCCATCCTTTTTCATTCATTTTTGTTTATATTGAAACTTAGCATTTTGGAAAAAAACTAATCGGATTAAGAGTTTATAAGGTTCATTATTGATACAACGGGGCACTTAATGTCCATGCACCAAACTGTATGAGAGCTGGAATATTTCTCGAGTGCCTAAATCATAACAGAAGATTTAATTAAGAGTCTACGCCCGAAGACTTTGACCTACAAGTCTAATCCATAAGGCGGTGGAGCAATGTAAAGAGATTCGGTTCCATGGCAGCTAGTGATCAACAATAGGTTCGTATGCCATTTGTTACCTCAGGATCCTGGAGATCATATGCACCAGTGGTTTGGAATCAGAGTTTTCCAACTCTCCTGGATGGATTCTCTAAATGTATTAATGCTGTTAAGGCACTGGACAATCACTTTCCTTCATTTCTATTTCGTAAGCAACCCACCATGAGGTGTCAGTGAGTAGGGCTTCCCTGACAGGAGACTGTATGCGCGTGGCCATGTGAGAGCATATTGAAAGAGAGAGAGAATTCTCCCCACATTCGACCGGAGGCTTAATCTTAAAGTTTATCTTCAAAGAGTTGTTTGAATGAATCAGTTTCTAAAAGAATCAAGCTACTCAAATGTGAAATATTTTTAGTAAAATTTAATGGTTTGATTTACTCAAGACGTTCACTAAAACCATGGATCGATCAGAATAAGACAACCGTTAAAAAAGCTGGAAGATTTGTACGGCTGTTTTGGTACTTGTACGGGCATATCCATGAATAGAACGCAGGATCTTCTGTCTTGTGAAATAGCGCTTAACCACTAGTCCATTTTGTTGACATCGTAGTGTTTAGGAACATTTTATTATACTAATTTTATAGGTGAATTCATGAGTAAATTGAAGCTAGACTAACATGGAAAACCTGGAGACACTGGATGACCGTTTCGTCCCAGTATGGGACACCTTAGCAGTACTCATCCACGATCTCACCGAAAACAAAATTAGATTTTCTTTATATTCCGTAGAATTTAATGCATCAGAATACTTAGAGAAAAATCAACACACAATTGAATGTCAATATATCTTTCACATAAGTATAAACTAGAATGAAGCTTATAAAGATTATAACTTCGAAGTGATTTCATCCAATTGTAGTACACAGTATGGGTTTCTGGTGATTATTAGGTTTTTGATTGAGATCAACAATCGATCAATGTTAGACAACTATTGAAAACTTGGTAACACTGGAAGGCTGTTTCGTCCTACTGTAGGACTCCTCAGTGGTGTGCATCCATGATCCTACTCTTGAGATTCGAACTCAAGTCCTCCGGTCTTGCGCGCAAATTCTTAACCTCTAGACCAAAGTGTCGGCTGGCATTCAACGGTGTTAATGTCTAACTTCAACCAATTCACGAAATTTCGCGACCATCTTCCATTGTATTGAGTTAGATACCTGTTTCTACCCGACATATATTTCATAGAATTCCTTTTATTTAAATTTCAGATAATTATACTGATAAAATTGAAAGAATTACAAAAAATTCTCAAATGATCTCTTCTATAACCATTGAAGATCCAGAACAATGTGCAACCCGTATATCAGGTTTAAAAATGAATACTAATTATTCATTATATATATGGGCTAAAACAGCTGTTGGACGTGGTGAATCAACTTTTGTAAATTTTCGTACAGCAACTCTTAGTCATGGTAATAATATAATATTTATATTATTTGTAATATGTATATAACTATGCCTTTGTAGAGATGAAGGTCTCATATGAGACTAGAGGTTTACCGTTGTTATTGTGGATGGTTTGGCATTGGACTTTGACAAGTTTTACTGACTGTTCATACACAAAATTGGTTTGTTGGATAGCCAATTTCATTCATATTGGTGGTTGCTTTTCAGTGTTCTCGAGGGCCATTGTCATTGGGAAATTGTAAGGCATGAGTTTGACTATCGTGTAGTCGGAATAGGTCAACTTTGGCCTCTTCGTGCTGTGCATGATTGATTCACGCGATCATTGATCGGAATAAATATACATGTGACGTGAATGTGTATATGAATGATGCGAATGGTCCACCATGGTACTTGGTACCTGTGTGGTTGCACCACAGAATTGAGCTGTACTATTCAGATTGTAACGTTAAAGACTATACGGTGTCTGGTTCTCCTGTTGAACGCGGTTGAGCGGTACTGTTCGGGTTTTCATGTGAAAGTCTTGATGGTGTCTGGTTCTCCTGAAAACCAATGTAAAATTACTCTGGCCCACAAGTGTATATTATATAACTATATAAATATGTATAAATATAGTTAGAAATGTTCCTTATTTTAAAGATCTGATCGCTTGAAAGTTGGATCAACTGTATGAACCGTTTCAAGGTTATGATGTATACATCAAGTCAAAATGTTAGCTATTGAGTGTAAATAGTTGGTTTTACTGATCAAAGCATCAATAGGTACTGAAATTTAGTGTTAGTGTAATGTATACTACTGATGTTGACAGATATAAGTAATATGTATCATCATTTGAAATTAGAATACCTGGAGTCAGAAGGTTGAGAAAATCGAACGAGAATGAGAATAGAGGATGATTAGTGAAGTATTTACTGTATGATTCTGTATGGTTCTTAGGTTTTACCGAGATATTCTATAATATTGTATTAAATTACATTTGGTTGTCCCCATTCATGTGTTTTCGTTCACTGCATTAAGACTAAGATTTTAAAGAATAAGGGCTCAGAGTTAGTATTACAGTTTAAAATAATAAAATCACCCTCTATTTACTCTTGTTTATGCTATCAGATTGTATTATCAAAGCTCATAGTTAGGGTATGAATGATGGTCAAGTATATGAGTCTGAAGTCACTAATGTTTAGTCTTAGCTATGTTGGTAGATGCAAACTACTTGGTTGCTGTCCGCGTGACTATAGTAACCCTAATGATTAGAGACCCTGTGTAACATGGCTCAGAATCGATCACAATGGCGTCAGTGTATACACTCTTCGTCTTCCCTCAAACCGTGAGATTGAAATTAGTTCCTGTATTATATCCATATACATAACCTTTTCTTTAATATATTACTGCCATTGAATTAACTAATTCTATGAATTCGGTGTTCATCTTGTTGTGCTAATGAGGTATGTCAACTTGGATCGATGTATATATGTGCCTGGTCCTACGTTGTAGCTGACTGACTGACACGGGCCTGACATCTATTTTATGACAGATGTGAAACAGATATTCACTTCAGATAATGGTAGATGGTGGTACAATTTTGTGGATCAGTTTAAGTTAGACATTCATACCATTGGATGCCAGTTCATTGGTTTAGAGAATAAGCATTCAAGGGCGAGATCAAGGGTACTGGATTTAAGTTTTACTTGTTGGTTCATAGATACGCACTGCTGAGGAGTCCTATCATAGGACGAAACAACAGTCTAGTACTTCCACGTTTTCAATGGTTTTCTAGTTTAGATCAACTCATCCATTTAACTAATAAAATTACTATCATCTCTACAAATCCTTATTCTGATTATTCAACATTTACTTATATAGATTATGGTTATATCCCTTTTACAATCACTTCCGTCCAAGGTCATGTGAATGCATTAAATTTAACATTGATTACACCATTATCTTTATCAAACTATGATTTAAATCAATCAGAGTTGATTAATGATAGTACAGATTCTTCTTCTGCTGCTAATCCTACTACTTCTTCGTTTTCGTCTTCGTCTTCATCTTCTTCTTCGACGATTCCATTCACAAATGAACAAGATACAAACAACTCTAAGATAGATAATGATGAACAAATTGAAAAATGGAATCATCAATTCATGTTTTATGTACAATTTCGTGAATTAGGTACAGAGATATGGGAAGAAACACAAAGAGAATTACATAATTCATGGATTGTATTAAATAATTTACATGAAGGTATATATTTTTTATTGATTTTATTGATTAATTTGTTTATTTGATACTGCCCGAGTGCTTAGACCGTAGCAGGTAGTTTTCTTAGTGGGTCACACCCTGAGCCTTTGACCTAATGGTCTAATTTACAAGGTAGTGAAGCAACATAAAAAGATGCAGTTCCATGATAGCCAGTGACCAACGATTGGTTCATACGCCATTTGTTCCATCAGGATGCTTGAGCCCATGTGCACTATTGGTTTGGAATCAGAGTTTTCCAACTCACCAAGGTGAATCCTTCATAGCTAACAACCTAGTTGAAGCATCGGACATTCGCTTTTCGTTCTCTGAATTTCGTAAACAACAGTAATACTGCCTGAAAGCTGTGAGTAGGACTTCCCTGTCAGTGATTGTATGCATATGGCTATGTGAGAGAATTTGGAGAGGGAGAGTTGACTCTCCCCTTGTCTCGACCATACCAAGGCATTTGAGTGCAATTGATAGTTGAATTGTAACGAAATGTATAGTTTTCGATTAAGTTTCATTGGTTTTATTGACTTAACATCACGAGTAGTATAGTTTGATGCTGATTATTAAAGGTTAGGGAAATATTAGTAAAGTAGATCTGTTTATGTTGATGAAACCGTATGATCACTAATGACTTATTTTAAGAGGTAGCTCTCAGAGTTCTAATGAGAATCCATAATCAGTGGAGTTCAACAATTTTGGTATTGAATCAGCTCCCCATCAAACTCATTAGAAGATGGCAGATCAATATCCGAAAATGTTTAAACCTGGAAATTTACAACGATTAACTAGCGATTTAGTCATCTAACTATTAAGCGCCCTCCATGAGATAGTGAGACCCTCAGTTCAATCCCTGACGGAGTTGTAAATGGGCACTACTGATTAGTTCTACACTAGGACAAAGTACACATCTAGTGCTTTGTCATGTTAAACAGCTATCTGAACAAAGTCAGTCTATGATATGACCTAGAAAATATAGCACCCAAATGCCCTGGCATGACCAAGAGTGGGGAGAGTGAACTCTCCCTCTTATAATGCTCTCACGTGGCCACGTGCATCCAATCACTCATAAAGAAGTCCTAGTCACCGCCTTTTCGCTGTATTACTGTTGTTTATGAACGAAAAGAGAATGTCTGCTGCTTTAACCGGGTTGGCGGATATGGAGGATCTACCTAAAAAAGTTAGAGAACTTTGGTTCCAAGTCAATGGTGCACATGATCTTCAGGATCCTAATGAAACAAACGGCGTACGAACCTATTATTGGTTATCGGCTACCATAGAACTGCAACTCCACGAGTTGATCCACTGCCTTAGACCTGTAGGTGAAAGGCTTGGATCATCGCCCCCAAAATTAACCATCTGTTTCGGTTTTTGTCACCCCGTACAAAATCCCAGCTGTCACACAAATTAAATGACTCAGTTTGCAGTATATTTACTTGGTGCCTTCTTTTACCAATGTTTGTATGTTTATACAAATAATCCCCACAGTTAAGATTCTATAGTGATTAAGTTAATTTTTCAATCTTAAAACCAAATTCATATCAATGAAAATTTCTCTAATAAATCTAACCAACTAAATTAATGAAATTTATTTTAATAATTGAATTCATGAGTTCAATAAAGTTAAACCATCATAGAAAACCTAAAACCATTAAACAATCATTTTGTCCGACTCCTTTTCAATAATGTACATCAATGATTCCACGTCCCCCCCCCACACGAGATTTGAACCCAAAATCTATTGATCACGCAAACGAACGCTTAACCTCTAATAACAGCTCACATGCAATTAAGTTTGTTCACATTGAATTTGATTCCGATTTTTTGTTAACTTATTTAACCAACAGAGTCATCATTGTAACACTTGTATGAATGTGTATACTTGAGTATTGTTTACTGTCTACTCATGTATTCATCCTGATAGCTTCAATAGTAGTCGCTCAATTGATTCAATGTTCAATTCATAGATATATAGATAGATAGATAGATAGATAGATAGATAGATAGATAGATAGATAGATAGATGTGTGGATAGATAGATAGATAGATGTGTGGATAGATAGATAGATAGATAGATAGATAGATAGATAGATAGATAGATGTGTGGATAGATAGATAGATAGATGTGTGGATAGATAGATAGATAGATAGATAGATAGATAGATAGATAGATGTGTGGATAGATAGATAGATAGATAGATAGATAGATAGATAGATGTGTGGATAGATAGATAGATGTGTGGATAGATAGATAGATAGATAGATAGATAGATAGATAGATAGATAGATAGATAGATAGATAGATAGATAGATAGATAGATAGATAGATAGATAGATAGATAGATATGTACATTTGAATCATATTCATTGTTTCGCTGACTTGCAGCTCACTCGCTCACTCACTTGCCTGTTACCTATACAGCACTCATCTTTCATGTTTACTTAATGTATCTGTAATTTTGATTCTCTGTATATAATGATCCAATCATAAACATAATCAACACTACATTCATATTCACACCATTGGAAGGTTATCTATTGATGATTATCAATACGAACTATATACGACTTCTAATGATCCCACCATATACTTTAAACTGTTCTCTTATAGAAGTTTGTTTCTATCATCATTTTTTCAATTTTTCTTTTTTAATATTAAGGTTTACAATATGAAATTAGAATAGTACATATTACTAATATTGGTCAATCAACTGTTAGTGGTTCAAAAATTATACAAATCCCATTAATCAATACTCAATCATCAATAATCAATAATCAATGGAGATTATTATCAAAACATAATCAATATTTAATTACTGTTATTATATTATGTTGTTTATTTATATTGATTACTTTAATAAGTAGTATATGTTTATTGATTTATTGGTTTAAACAAAAATTTACTAAAAGATTAATAACACATACAAAACATAATTATTTAGAAACATTTCATTGTAAAAAACAATCACAATATAATAATAATAATATACAATACGAATTACCTATTGAACAACAATTACCACAGCAACACCAATCACCACGGCAACAACAACAATCTATGGAATCATATACAAATTGGACAATAAATAATAAATTATTACCAAATCATATAGATTATATAACTGATCCTATGATGATGATGATGACGACGATGACAACGACGGCGACAGCGACGGCGACGGAGACGACGACCGCAATGAAGATGATGATGATGAATAATAATCATCATGATACAATATGTCAATTAGATTCTTCATGTATATGTCAATCAAATGATATCTATCATCATCATCATCATTATCACGATCATGATCATGATTCATTTATAACAACTTGTAATTCACCATTTATAAATAATTGTATAACATTTTTAAAATTACCACAATCTCAAACTAGTTCATTTACAGAAGAGAATTTCTTTAATCCATTAATCAATATTGATACTACTAATACTACTTTTACTACTACTAATACTACTGATAATAAGAATAATCAACATACATATATAGGCAGTTTATTAAGTAGAGTATAACTATTAGTTCTATGTATGTTTTAAGTATAGTTATGTAATAATACGTATTCTTTTTTTGGGGGGGGAGAGTAGGGGGGTGTTAAAAGTACAATATAATTTTATGATATTTTTTGTATAAGTAACGCATTTAGATTTTAATTCTTATTGTACAATTGAGAGAAAACATTTTTAATATGCATATAATACAGTTTGTTTGTTTTTAATAAAGTAATCTTATGATTTCAAGTCAATGAAAATGTATTTGATTACTTACTTACTTACTTACTTACCCCCCAATGGAGAATAGGCCGCCGACCAGCATTCTTCAACCTATTCTGTCCTGGGCGTTCTTTTCTAGTTCCATCTAATTCTTGTTCATTTTTCTCATGTCTATCTCCATTTCCTGGTGTAATGTGTTCCTTAGTCGTCTTCTTTTCCTTTGGCCTTGAGGATTCCATGTGAGGGCTTGCCTTGTGACACGGTTGATTGCTCTCCTCAATGTATGTCCTATCCACTTCCAGTGCTTCTTCATGATTTCTTCCTCCGCTGTAATCTAGTTTTTTGTTTCCTACAGTAGGTTGTTGCTATTAGTGTCTGGCTAACGGATTCAAAGTATTCGGCATAGACAACTTTTGATAAACACCTGTATCATCTGGATGATGGCTTTTGTAGTTCTCCAGGTTTCCGCCACATACAGTAGAAATGTCTTAATATTTGTATTTAAAAAAATGAATTTGGTGTTTGTTGCCGATTGTAGAAAACTAACTCGCCAAAAAAAATGCTTGTATTTGGTTAAAACTTAGATTAATATCATACAGAAATGAATGAATGAATGAATGTTAGATCATCATTGAAAAATTGAAAGTACTTGATGGTTATTCTGTTTTACTATAGGACTCCTCAATAGTCTTCAATCAAGATCCCACCTCTCAAGACTCGAACCCAAAAAGTATCGGTCTCATTTCCAAAACAGTTACTGTATGAATAAAATAGTGGAGTTTGAACGTTTCCTCGTGAGACTGTGAATGTCTTGGATACTAGTCCCTTTTGTTGTGGGATCATGGATGTGCATTATTGAGAAGTTTCATACTAGAACGAAATGACCGTTCAGTACTTCCAAGTATTTAATGGTGGTGTAACATTGATCTATTCACGATATCAATTTAAACTGAGCTGTTGGTCTCAAGCCCGGGTAAAGGAGGAGGTGTGTGCATGGAGTTGGAAACCCTATCCAATAGAAATAGTTTTTCTAAAACAAAATTCCAACCAGATTTTAAAAATCAAACTATAATATCCTACCAGTAGATAATGTGTTTACTTGACTCAAGTTTTCGTTGATAGTCTAACTTTCAGTAATAATTTACATACCCAGCAACAAACGCAAGATGATTCACATATCCCATCAATCAATTAAAAATACTAATTATAAGTAGTTATGCTTTGAACTATATTTTAGATGTTAAATGTCTGATAAGGACTGATATGAGTTCATACAGTAAAACTATTTTCAGTCCATTTCAATGATCAAATAATTATTTAGGGGAAATAAAAACAGTCTGTTTAGTAACAATCACTTTCATGTATTAAATATGATATTTGTCACTATAGGGCTTATGCGAAATAATGTTTCTTATGATTGAACACGGTCAAGAAGAATATCCATTCTGACATTAAAGTGATAAGAAGTTAACTTTTATAATGAACTATCAAACTCCATACATCATACTCTGTACTTCAGGATGTTATCTTCAATGAAAAGCTTACTATATAATTGTTTATTAATAGCCGTACCATTTCAATCCGGATATAAAATTATCCTAATAAAAACAGCATTTACAAACATTCGTTAACTACTAACTATTAATTAAGTAGGCAAATTGTTTATGCTAAATTAGTAGACATTAGACTACCTACTTCAAGTAAATATTAGTCGTGATATTTCTTAAAACGATGTGGATTAATGATTTTTTTATATGAAGCTTTTACTATCATTCAGTCGAGCTGAATATCAAGTCATACTTGAATGTTCTCCTTTATAACCCAACTTTATCTAAGAGAGTAAAATTAGAAAATAAATACAAAATGTAATCGGCTATTATATACTATACAGAGGAATCCGAGATGGAGGTAGAAGACTACACATATAATGTAGTGGTCAAACCAGAGAGAAAGTTTCCAATCATTCGATTAACAGAAGAACAGAACTACAGTTTACATTTTTCAAGAAAACAATTAAGTACTCAAGTGAACATGAAATACGCTTAATATAGTGCTAATATCTGTTTAAACGTAACCAGTGTCGCGTAGAGATAGGTATCTACCTCACTATAATGAAAGATGGTTGCGCAATTTCGTGGATCGGTTGATGCTAGACATTAACACCATTGGATGCCAGCTCAGTGGTCCAGTAGATCAAGCGTTCGCTTGCGAGACAGAAGGCACTAGGTTCGAACCCCGTGGGTGAAGTCGTGGATGCATACTGCCAAGAAGGAGTCCCATAATATAAAAAAATGGCCATCCAGTGCTTTCAGGTTTTCAATGGTGGTCTAACATCAATCGGCTCATGATCTCAATCAAAAACTTAACAATCTCCACAACCCCTATACTGATAAACGTATAACTAATGAACAAGAAATAAACTCATATTGAAATGATATTTCAGCTCTTTCTTAGGCTATTTCATTCTTATCCATGTTACAATCAGTCTCTATGAAAGCAAAAGGCAATGATCATAATATTAGTTATCATAGAAGGTAAAGCTATTCTATACAATTAAGTGTATTAAATTTGATCTACAAAAGCATTCTAAGTATTAACTAATGAATATGTTGAATCTATGAATTACAGTGAACACTGATTGTTAGTGGAATCTATGACTAGTGTTTCATCCTATTTGCTACTGTTTAGGATCCAAGTTTAAAGCAACACTTGTTGAATTCAAGTCTGATTATTTAAAATTAACACTAAAAAGTAGAGATATCTAACTTAAAAGATCAAACTTACAGCTTAGAAACATTTTCAAAATTGTTATAACTTGTGGTCTATTGCCCATATCAATATGGTTAGCGTTTTTTTTTTAGCGAGTTAGTTATCTACGGGATGGGGTCGCTAACCCCATGCCCAACTTTCCTCCTTTATCCGAGCTTGGGACAGGCAGTAGCCCCTAGATGGACTCCAGCCGGTGTTGCCCCTACCATTATGTATAGATGTAATGATATCGCCAATCGGAGAATAGTAAATTATCGACCAGACCAATGACGCATAAACCTGTACGATTAGTCTAAAGTCCTTATCAGTTCTTCTTCTTTTTCTTCCTACCTAGCCCTACCTGTCTGATAAGTCTAGAACACCAATCTCAGCCTCTGAGATATGAATCATGTATTACATCAAACATACTGGGGTTTATATACCAACCAAACAGACAACACCATACCATAAAATATGAAACAACATTTGTAGAAGATCAGACTTAAAAGGTAGCTATGAATGTAGAAGACTTTAATTAACAGATTAGGCATAACCTAAAAATGGTAAATAGTATCATAATAGTCTACGGGTCGAAATAGAGCTTATAATAAGGGGAACACGAATATACATAATCTAGTTGCTGAACAGTTATACAATAGGAATATATCTTGAGTGCTTTTAGAGGTATGAAGTCGGTTATCACTTTCCGGTCACCTACACCGTGAAAGGATTCTTATGGAGGTACCTGAAAAGGAACTTGGTCTTAGTGACTTGAGAGTGTGACTGCGGTGCCTAAGGGACAACTGCTTGAGGTCAGTCACACATAACTTTTTTGTGAGTAATTTTCATGTTAGCTCCGTACTTGTTGAGACCTTACCGCCAGAGGCGGATATCCGTGGGATAAGGCGAGGTGTACATTTTTAGGGTCAACCTTTTCTAACCCCACTCCTCCTTGTGGGAAGGCAGCATCACTGTTATGCTGGTTGTCTGACGGAAACACCATACTGCCGTTACACCTCTATATAATCAACAGTAAGACTTCGCCCTCCGATTTTGGATTTGCTCCTTTTAGTCTTACCGTTCTTCAACTGACCTGTCTGGCATGGTAAGCTCTAGAGGACTGATTGTTTCAGCCAGTATAACTTGATTGGTTCATCAAGATAGGCCAGCCGGACCACCGCGTCAAGGTAGCAACAACGGTTGTTATAGGAATATATATATATATAATATTTTTGTTTAAAGACATAGAAACTGGTACAAGGAGGCACCAAATATATATGCGCCACACAAATCTCATCTGACTTGTGCGAGGACAGTGATACTGCTCGGGTGCCCAAACCAAACCACGTGGTTTAATTAGGGGGCCATACCCAGAGCCTTCGACCTGAAGATCTGATCCACAAGGCAGTGGAGCATCGTGAAGAGATGCAGTCTCATGTGGGCCGACGACCAACGATTGGTTCATACTCCATTTGTTCCCTTAGGATACTGGAGCTCATGTGCACCATTGGTTCGGGATCCAGTTAAAACTCCGGACATTCGCTTTTCGTCCTCTCATTTTCGTAAACAACATCCGCGGTACGAGAAGGCAGTGAGTAAGACTTCCCTGGCAGAGGCTATATACGTGTGGCCATCTGAGAGCATTTCGAGAGGGAGAGCGGAATCTCCCCACTCTCGGTCATACCAGGACATTTTGGGGCATATATATATATAATATATATATAGCCTTAATCCAAAAATGAATGTCAATAGTTACCATCCACTATTCTTATCAGGATTCAAACATTGACATATTGCTTTTTTTCATATATCAAGTTAACTTCAACAATACAGAAAAAAATGGTTACTACTAATAAACTTTAGTCATTTCATATTGGCAATTGTTTAACTACTATGAATGATGATGATAATAATACATATCACTTGTCAATTCTCAAAGAAAAACAGGTTTCTTTCTTGATCATGAATTAACATGAATTAATATCATTAAAAGGTGTCTATAGTTTGAATATAAAAAAAAAGCCAAACAAACAAACAAGCGAAGTTGCCTGAAAAAACTATAACAAGTTATATCTTGACATTTACTTTTGAAAATTTAGAAAAAAACAATCATTTTCATGAGAAAAGATTGTAATATAATCGTTTGTCTTCACTTGTGTTCTCTTTCAATACATTTGATATCACTACCAACCAGAAGGTGGGAAGGATGCTGTTTTGTGTACTTCGTTGCGGACCTTGATCTGAGGTGTTAGCTGAAGCGGTTTGATGGGGGGGGGGAAGGTGACGTCGAGTGGAGTGTCCTGAAGGGTTGCGTTTTGGTTGTAGTGGGTTCTTCCAACGGATAGGAGCGGTGGGACGTGCGGCTGTTGGATGGACATTGGATGTAAATGGTTCAGCAGGTCGCTAGTACGCAAGTGTTGAACGTGCCATGTGCTGGGAGTAGATCGGGTTGTGATATCCTGGAAGGTCGACAGGGCTATGAAGGTCAACGCGCCGCAGATTCAATATTTTGACGGAGAACGTGGTACAGACTGCAGAAAAGAAGGAAGTAGCACAACGATCAGAACCACTGCAAGTACGACTGCTTTATAAAGGGGTGTGTACTACTGATATCGACAGATACAAGTAGTATATATCATCAATGAAAAGTCGAATACCTGATAGCAGAAGATTAAAAAGATTGAAGAAAAGAGAGTACCGTATAATATAACTTGAACTTATAAGTATCGTATGATGTCTACACATTTAGTTTGAAAATCGCTTCTTGATTAACGATAAGAAATGAGATTATCTCATTATGACGATAATGATTGAATATAACAATCAAGTGTACTTTAATGATTTCAGTTAGTAATTATTCTAAAATGATATTCCAGTAAATTTGGACAACCTTTTGTACTATTATAGTGAACGAGAACACCAATGAAGACAACCGAATGCATTTTAATACGACATTATAGAATCTAATAGTTAAATTAATGAGTCGATCTAAGCTAGATCATTATTAAAAACTTGGAAGTACTAGACGACCATTTCGTCTTCGCATGATCTCACACACGGAACTCGAATCTAGGATCCTCAAGACTACTGAGACGGGCATACAACGATGTTTATGTCTAATTTCAATCAATCCATGAAATTGTACCATGATCTAAGAATGAATAGTTTACCCCGTCATTCAGTTAAAATAAGCTATATGGGCTTAACATAGTCACCGACATTACATGTCACAAATTAATGTGTTGATTACACTTCAATTGATCAAGTCGTTACTTGTTATATCAAAGGTGACAGTTATATTTATTATGGATCCATATGTGTTGTCATCATAAAATCCATTTTTGATTACCGTACAAACACCATTTGATTGTGTTAACAAATGAATATGATATACATTAAATCCTTATGTACAAGAATCATTTGTATTCAGTCGTGAATTGGGTTTATGAAATGTGTAATTCCAATGATGTGAGTGAAGTTTATCTTTTAGTTAAGTGATGAATGCTTTTAATCTCCCTTATAATTTAGTGTAGATAAATAGAGTTATCGACTGTGTTAGTAGTTAGTAACTCATTCAGATTATCCCGTATCTTTCACTGTGAGTTATTACCATTAACTTTGGAGGCTGTTTTCAGTATACTCTTCTAATAACAATACATTACTTATTTACTTACTTACTTACTTACGCCTGTTACTCTCAATGGAGCATAGGTCACCAACCAGCATTCTTTAACCTAATCTGTCCTAGGCCTTCTTTTCTAGTTCTATCCAATTGTTGTTCATTCTTCTCATGTCTATCTTCATTTCTTGGTCTACCTATCTTCATTTCGCCTAGAGGGACTGCCTCGTGATCCAGTTTGTTGATTTCCGTAATGTATGTCTTATCTATTTCCATCGTCCCTTCTTAATTTCCTCTTCAGTTCGAAGCTGATTTATCCTCTCCCACAGTAGGCTGTTGCTGATGGTATCCGGTCAATGGATATTGAGTATCTTGTGTGGACGACTATTTATGAATACTTGTACATTCTTGATGATGTTTGTAGTAGTTCTTTACGTTTCAGCTCCGTACCGTAAAACTAACTGTCTTGACGTTCGTATTCAAGCTTGTGACTTTGATATTAGTTGAAAGTCACTTGTTTTGAGTTCCATATATTCTTCAATTGTAGGAGTGCTATCCTTTCTTTGCCAATCCTCGATTTAACGTCTGCATCTGAACCTCCTTGATTATCGATGATGCTACACAGGTATGTGAAGGATTCCACATCTTCCAGAGTTTCGCCATCAAGTTTGATTGGATTGGTGTTCTCCGTGTCGTATTTGAGGACCTTGGTTTTCCCCTTGCGTATGTTGGGGCCTACTGGTGCAGAGGCTGCTGCTACACAATTTTTCTTCATCTTCATTTGTTCGTGTGTATAGGATAGGTGGGCCAGATCATCTGAGAAAGTCAAATCGTCTAATTAGCTCTAAGCTGTTCATTGTATTCCGTGTTTTCCCTCAGATGTCAAGGTCTTCATAATCTAGTCGACCATCAGAAGAAAGAGGAAGGGAGAGAGTAGAAAGCGTTGTCTTACTCCGGTCCTTACTCGGAATGCATCTGTCAGCTGTCCTCCATGCATGAGATGTCTCTACTAACATATTATTCATTTTGTACAAATCGTAAAATATGACTTATTTCCAACTTGATATATTTGGTTAAAAACTTTCGATTATACATATGAACATGGAAGAAAACAATGAAATAAGGATTGTACCTAAAACTTTAAATAAGTACATTCACGACCATACCATTGATGATTAAATTCAAGATCATCAGTCTTGTGGGTGAATCAAACAATGTTAGCTATAGAGAAGATATCCATAGAAGAAAAAGAACACTGTTTGTGTAATAACGCAGATGAGATCGATCGTTTATGAATGCTTTTTTAATATGAACTCTTGAAGAATCCCCTACTGGAATGAAATAGCTGTCTAGTGCTTCCAGATTTTCAATGGTTTTTTAACCATTAACTACCGTAAGCAACAATGCAAACATGTTCGGGACACGATTCTCTCCCTCGAAATGCAAAATGTTGCTTCAGGATTGGGTCACATGAGCACCTGAACTAATGATCAGGAGTGAAGTAGTTGAGCGTGTCAACCGCTTTATTTATCTTGGAAGTCTCATCAGCCTTTGTGGTCTGGTGTGTGACAAAATCTCAGCACGGATATAGAAAGCTCGAATAGGTTTCACTAACTTACGTCATTTATGGTGTGGGCGAGATATCTGTCTACCAACCAAAGGACGGGATTACAGAGCAGCAGTTTGTTCTATCCTATTTTATGGCTGGGGAACATAGCCGGTAAGAGTAGAGGATATTCGTAGGTTACTAGTATTTGATCATAGGTGTCTTCGAAACATTGCTCGTATAACCTGGGACCACCGAGTAGGTAATGCAGTTGTCAGGAAACGGGTACTAGCTAAGGATGGCAAATCAAATGATGAAGTAGTGAAACTTAATCAGTTGAGATGACTGGGACATGTGTTACCTATGCCAAACCACCGAATGCTCCGACGTATCATGTTTTATGGTGTAGGAGTAGGTTGGAAGAAAGCTAGGGGCGGCCAGACCAAAACATGACACAACTCCATGAAGTCACTGATACGTGAACTGAGCCATGTTGGTCGATGTAGACTACCTAGTTGGGATCGGCGAGATGATATCAACCGATGGTAAGAGACGTTGAATGACATGGATCAAAATCGTTTGCAATAACGCAGGTGCATCCACTCTTTGTGTTCTCCCAAGTTCTAATCTTCTGAATTCTTCATGTCTTTTTCTTTTTTCTCTTTCCAAATTTATTTCACTGTATTATACTCATTGAATAACATCTTCAAACCCTAATCATTCCGATTATTGCTTACACTTTTACTACCTCTACTACTACGGGATTTGAATCGACAAACGTATCTCTGTGTTAACGTGGTATGACAACTTGAACTGATGTATGTACGTACATACGTACATACATACGAAGTTCTACGTTGTTGCTGACTGACTGACTGATTGACTGACTGACTGTGGTTGTCTAACCGAAACCAGTTTGTAACCATGATAGATTTATATATTACAAAAGAATTATTTAAAAGAAAAGATTAAACAAATCAGTGATATGAACTTATTTATTATAGTTATATCAAATCAATTATCATCCATTTATAATTCGCTATTGAAGTTGCTACGATTATTCGAAACGTTGCATAGAATTACTTTTTTTTGCTTTTTATCTTGTTGTGATCAGATTTATTGGTAAATCTATACTTTGGTGGTAGAGTATCTTCGGATTCACCAAGTTTAGATATCTTTTTTGGGGTTATTAATTCTTGATCATAACGCTTAGTAACATTTGAAGAGTTGACGTCATCATCATTATCATCATCATCATCCTCATCATCGTCGTCATCGTCATCATCATTATCAGCAGTAGCAGCAGCAGAGATATTATGTTTCTTTGTGGCAGTAGCAGTATCATGATTATCAACAGTAGTAGAGGTATCATGTTTCTTTGCAGCAGTAGTAGTATCATGATTATCAACAGCTGCAGAAGTATCATGTTTCTTTGCATCGGTAGCAGTATCATGATTATCAACAGTAGTAGAGGTATCATGTTTTATTGGATTATTTGATTGAATGGTAGTTTTGGTTCCTTCAGTCACTGATGAAGACTCAGTTTCATTTCCTTCATTAGATGATAATGAGTAATTTCCATCAAGGTTTAGAAGTATAACCAATGAAAACATATAGAAGAATACTGGAATTCTAAGGTCCATTGTTATGATAAACATGATAAAATGTACTAATGGCTTACATGTATATATATATATATATATATATATACATAGGTATACATAGGTTCAATATCATAGAATTTGCCTTGACAGATTGACGATTTAATGTCGTTTTCTGGATCATTCAAATCAGTATGACATATTTGACAAATCAATGATTTTATGTCATTACATAATTTGCATTATAGATTAGTTTATAGAACATTTTCACAATTTCATAATTATGTATAGCATGGGATAAGACACAAATCGAGGAAATAATTAAAACTGTATCACGAAGTAAGCGATAATATAGAATCCTGAAAGAAACTGGAAAAAAGGAAGATCAAAGAATACACTGCACTGAGAATTGAAGGTAGATATAAGTAGGATGAATAGCAATTGAAAAGAACTGGAAAGGATTGGTGAGGACAGAGTTGGATAGAGAATGCTAGTGGACGACTTATGCTCCCTGATGAGGGTGACAGGTGTAAGTTAGTAAGTAAGTAAGTTAGTAAGCAAGTAAGTGAGTAAGTGAGTGAGTACATAAGTAAGTAAGTTAGTGAGTGAGTAAGTAAATGAGTACGTAAGTAAGTAAGTGAGTAAGTGGGTAAGTAAGTAAGTGAGTGAGTAAGTAAGTGAGTAAGTGATTGAGTAAGTAAGTAAGTGAGTAAGTAAGTAAGTACGTAAGCAAATAAGTGAGTAAGTGAGTATAAGTTTACTTCCATCTCAGAAAATAAACAACATTATCTCTTTAAAATCAACTTATTCATAAACAGTATTCTCTGTTATACAAAGGGATGAGTGACAGCTAGCAGTGGAATCCAGGACGCACGTTTCATCTTATTTGGAAGTCGTCAGTTGGATGTACCTACATCCCAGAGTTGATGTTTACTACGGGACTTGAGATCAATACCGTTTGCTCCGAACGACATCATATGATTCACTTAGCTACTGATTCCTGATAGTTATTAGTTTGTACAATGAAGGGAAGTTATAATTCATTTTTGTTTTGGTTGTTTGAATCTTACAAGAACTGATGTTTAGAACAGCGATTAGAGTAAATGGTACTTTGTTTGAGTTTCAGAGTAAACATCAACTTCAGAATGCTGGCCAAAATAGGATGAAACACGAGTCCTGAACTCCACTGCTACCTACTATCTATTGCTATTTATGATGATTGTGACTTCAGGTAATATCGAAACGATCCGAACAAGATGAACATATGTCAATAAGAGACTTGTTAATTGTAGTCCTAACACATCAATGAAACGATTTAAACAACCAATACTAAACTGAACTAAAGTGTCTTTGATTGCTTACCTAACTTGAACAGAATAATGTCAGGGTCAGCCAGAAAGTTCTCTTAACTTCTCAAAATGTTAAAATGCCAATATATCTAGTATGAATATGTGTATCATGCCTAGAGATTGTCTTTATATCACAAGTTTATGTAGAATGTATGGTAATCTTCATAAGATTCATTTATGTCAAGAGAGACTAATCAACTTTCATCTTTAACATCAACCATCGAAAGATCTAAATACTTAAAACTAATATATAATCCATTTTCATTAGACATGCTAATGCCGATTGGATAGCCCGTTCGTACTTAAGACTTCAGGTACCGGGTTTAAATCCTAAAACATATATCAATTCTGAGATGCAGAGGCACTCAGCAGAAGATTCTCGAAAGGACGAAACTGTTACTAACTGAATTACGTCTATTCCATGTAATCATATACCTATAGATTATAATATTTCTTTAAACAAAAGGTAGGTATATTATGTTATTTCACAGCATCAACAACAACTCATCTAAAAATGAGGTTAAAACTTAGTTCAATTCTCTTAGTATAAATGATCAACTGATCTTAGCTAGATTCTTATAAAAAACCAAAAAAAAAGAAACACTGAACAGCTATTTCGCCCTAATATGGGCTCTTCAGCTGTATGTATCTACGATACCATCACGTGCAGTCGAGGTCCGGACCTTTGATCTCGCCAACCAACGCTTAACACCTAGACCAATTGGTTAGTATCTAATGTTTTACACGTCCAGCTTCAAATAATCCGTCATACTGTGCAGTTACCTTTCATATCCTGCGAAGGATTACCGTCTCACATCCGATATAATTGAATTTCAATGACTAAATCAATGATCAGTTGATGATTTAAGCTATACGTAAACTTTCAATGAATATGATATATTGTCCTGGCACGGCCGAGGGTGAAGAGATTCAGGTCTCTCTCTCCAAATGTTCTCACATGGACACGCGTACACAGCAACTCTCAAGAAAATCCTACTCACTAACTTCTCGACACTGAGGTGTTGTTTACGAAACGAATGTCCTGCGCTTTATGCGGGTTGCTGGATATGAAGAATCCATCTAGAGAAGTTGGACAATCCTGATTCCAAATCAATAGTGCACATGGTCTCCAAGATCTTAAAGAAACAAATGAAGTATGAACTAATCGTTGATTACTAGTTACCATGGAATTGCATCTTCACAAGTTGCTCGACTGTTTTATAGATTAGGTCTGTAGATCAAAGTCTTGGGATATGGCTTCCTAAGTTAACCACTTATTTTGATTTGGGCACTCGGAGTTTGGCGTATATCTATTTGATGCCTCCATGTACGCTAATGTTTAGGTGTTTAAATAAACAATAAACAATGTAATTAAATGTAATAGACTAGTCATGGACACATGAATTTTATGATGGAACCTAGAAAATTTACAAACAAACAAACAAACAAACAAACAAACAGTCAATTGGTCTATAAACAAAATAAACATAAAAAAACAACAACTTAATATACAATAACAAATCAGTGAAAAGTACTTGTCATGGATATTGTAGTTGCCAAGATAGAAAGAAACAAACAACCAAGCCAGTATGTTAATGCTCACTTGGTATTATATACTTGTATCTTCCTATTGTTGTTTAGGATTGTAATAGCATAAGTTAGTGGTTAACAGAATGGTGTTTGAAGTGAACGGTATTGGATTCGAGTTTTGAAGTGAATGTCTACTGTGAAATGCAAGTACATCTATCTAGCTGACGAGTCTCAAGTGGGATGAAACATGAATTCTGGATTTTACTACAAGTTAATATCTATCTTTGCTTACAAATGTGTTAATTGATTCTATAAAGTAATGATGAATAAAGTAGACTGTTTAATTCATGTAAGCTTAAGTTATGTTCTGAAAATGTAATATATCTATGAACTAAGCAAGTTCTTGAAGAGAAACGAAAAAGAGGAAATCTAAAGAACACACTGTGTTGGAATTTGTAAGTAGACATGAAAAAAATGAATAACAACTGGAAACAACTGGAAAGAATTATCGAAGACAGAGTTGGATGGAGAATGTTGATGGTTGACCTATGTTCCTCCATGAGGGGTAATAGATATAAGTAAGGCAAGTTATATGATTCTTTCATGATGATGGGATAATTCACTTCGTCGAGATGTTCTGAAATTTAGCATGATCAAGATGATTTGTCTACTAATGATAATGTACACTTTATTACACTATTTTCATCTATGTATCCATGAAGTACCTAACACAGTTGTTATTTCAGTACTACTACTGTGGTGCGCGCTACTTATATTGAGATAATAAGTAGTATATAACGCGAGTTTCAAACGTAATGGCTGGCTGCAGAAGATGGGGAAAAATCAAGAGAGGAAGAGCGGCAACACAATGGAATTTGTATGAAAAAACATGAACAATGAAATGTCAGTCAATGGATTGATATTTGAAACAGGAACAGTTCAGTTTAATATGAAGGATTAATATTTTGCAAATTAACGATTTAATATATAGTTTTTCTATTTTATCAATTAACTCTGTAATTTGAGCAAATGCAATTCGGTTGTCCTCATCAGTGTTCTGCCTCACTACACTACTACTACTGCTGCTACCACTAATACTACGTTTTCTTGTACAGAGTGTATTAAAGCTTCAGGATAAGGAGAAGCTCTGGATGATGTGGAATATTTAACGTACCTGGCTGGACAGTATCATCGATGAATAAGGAAGGTCTGGTGAAGATGTAAATGACAGGATGGATAAAGAAATAACAACATTCCTACAACTGAAGAACTTATGGAACTCAAAACAAATCTCAATCAATATAAAAGTCATAATCTTCAATACGAACGTCAAGACCATTCTGTTGTACGGAGCTGAAAATTGGAGAACGACTACAACCATAATCAAAAACATACGAGTATTTATAAACAAGATACTCATTGTCCGTTGACCCGATACTATCAGCAACAACATACTATGGAGAATAACAAACAAGTTTCCATTTGAAGAGAAAATTAGGAAATGACGATTCAGTTAGATGGTACATACATGGAGGAAATCATCAAACTGCATCCCGAGACATGCTCTAAACTTGGAATCCTGAAGGGAAACGGAAAAGAAGAAGCCTGAATAACACACTACGTCTAGAATTGAAAGAAAATATGAAAAAAAATGAATAGTACCTGAAAGGACTGGGAAGCATTGCTTAGAACAGAGTTGGATGGAAAATACCTGTGGGTTACCTATTCTCCTTCATGTGAGGTCACAAACTTAAGTAGGTTTGAGCGCCTAAATTCTAGACCATCCAGTCTGTAGTAAACAATTTGCTTTTGTACACTTAGTTTGGGCTCATTATTCATTATCATATATTTTAACCTTTTTGCAACTTATTGCAAGTTATCTCTTCAAAGAACAAAGAACTTTTCCAAGGGTGATGTTTCTTGATCCAAAATAATAACAATTCGAAAGCTTCAATGTTGTCATTCAGTGTATGTGACTTTAACGTTCTAAATAATAAGTATAATTCTTCACTGCTGAGGAGTCCCACAATAGGACAAAATGGCCATCCAGTGCTTCCAAGTTTCCCATGGTGGTCTAGCTTCAACTGACTCATGACCACAACCATTGACATTACAATAATAAACTATCATCACTTTGTGCTTAATCCCTTTCTTTCTTTCTTTTTTTTCCCCTGAGGATAATTCTAGTAGTGTATTCCAGGGAGTACGTTTCATTCCGTTTGAGATTCATTTGCTAAATATGTTTACATCCTGATGTTGATTCGTACACTGAGACAGTAGTCTAGTACATTATGTTTGGAATGCCTTTGTATTATGCACTATGTAGTTTAGTTTAAATACCTACCTACCTAAATGAACCATCAGTATTCTTATTGATAATTGTATAAGATAGATTGGTAAATTACGTTATGTTTTTCATCAATGATCAATTTAGTTGAGTTTATGAATCAATCGAAGCTAGACCACCATGAAAAACCTGGAAGCACTGAATGGCCGTTTCATCCTAGTATGGGACACCTCAGCAGTACACAAGCACGATCCCGCCTCCTGAGATTCGAACCCAGGACCTATCGGTCTCAACTATTAAATGACTATCATATCCACAAAAGTATCATCGATGAACACGGTGAATCTGATGCAGATGTGAAGGCACGGATCGGCAAAGCAAGAGCAGCATATTTACAACTGAAGAACATCTAGAACTCAAAACAATTGGCAACCAACACCAAGGTCAGAATTTTCAATACAAATGTCAAGACAGTTCTGGAGAACTACAAAAGCCATCATCCAGAAGATACAGGTGTTTATTAACAGTTGTCTACGCAGAATACTTCGAATCCGTTGGCTAGACACTATCGGCAATAACCCACTGTGGGCGAGAAAAAACCAGATGCGAGCCGAGGAATTAATCAGGGAAAAGCTCTGGAAGTGGATAGGACACACATTGAGGAGAGCACCCAACCGTATCACAAGGCAATCCCTCACATGAAATCCTCAAGTCTAAAGTAAAAGAGGAAGATCAAAGAATACATCACACCGTCAAATGGAGATAGACATGAGAAAATGAACAAGAAATGGATGGAACTAGAAAAGAAGGCCCAGGACAGATTGGGTTGAAGAATGCTGATCGGTGGTCTATGCTCCATTTGGGGGTAACAGGCGTAAGTAAGTAAGTAAGTAAGTAAGTAAGTAAGTAAGTAATATCCACAAAACCCCTCTCTGATTTTAATTTTCAATATAACTAGTAATAATGAGTTGATCTCTACGAATAAAATGGCTAGTTTCACTCAAATGGTCACAATCAATAACAATTGAATTGTTTAAATCAAATTCTGTCAACTACATTCTAACGTGACTAACAATTCAAATCATTCAATATCACATGTACTATTTTGATATTATATGATTGATGGTAGTTATTAAGAAACCCTATTCTAACCCGGTTTCATATTAGTTTTAATGCTCTTTAGTAAAACATACTTTAAGTTCATGAATGAACGGACACTTCCTGACATTTATCTAGTAAATTTAATCTTACTTAACATATATTATTGAAACTTAATTTAACTAAGTATACAATAAATCTTCCTATCCTATTATACATTAGAACATGATTACAATTTGTGAACGAACCAATCAGATTTAAGATAACAAGTTATCGATTTTGGCGCGAAATTCATTTACTCCATTGTCTAAATACCGTCTTGGTGTCCTGATGTTAACTTATGATGAAAACTTTAAACATCAATTGTAAATCATAATGCTCATTTTTCACATAGATTCATAAATGACATTCAACCGTAGTAATTAGGTGGACATTCTGTAGGTCACTTTAGCGTCGCTTAAAAGTCTTCCATAATTTACGGTCTCATCTATCATATGATCTAATGTCTTGGTTCAGTTATCCTAGATTTTCTTTCAACCTACTTTCATAACAAATCTAGGATTTTAAAACATTACCGTTCAGTGCCAACGCCATCATGTTATTCACTTAGCTACGTATGTCTATATTTGGATACAATTCAGTACGTGATTTTACTTACATTTATAATCAGAGTTCTGCTATAGAATGTTTATGTATAAATGAATGGGTTGACTATATTAGTCGAATTGTTGTATAGATTGATGGAAAATACATTGAATTATGTTGTGAACTACATTTCAATTGCTTAAACTAAATGGCTGACACGTTACATAAGTAAGTGTAGACGAAAGCTTCTACATACATATAATCTTTGCTTATAAAGCTTATGAATTAAGGTGATATGCAGGCGGTTCGCACAGAATGCACATATACCAACAAGAAACTGATCAATTACAGTCCTAAACATCAATGAGAAGATTCAGGTATACAACATTAAATGAATTTAAACTTCACCCTATCGCACATGCAGGTGGCTATTATAACTCAGTAGTTAGATAGATAACATGATAGCATTTGAAGTGAACGCTACTGAGTTCGAGTCTCGGAGTGAACATTAACTCTGAGATGCAGATAAATCCGGTTGACAAGTCGCAAATGAAGACGAAATATACGTCTTGGATTCGATTACTATCCACAATTATCTATCTTTGCTTAGAATACTTGAAAATTAAGGAAATATGGAGGCAAACCTTATACTATACACATATACCAACAAACAACTGATCATTGACAGTCTTAAACATTAATGTGAAGGTTCAAGTAAACTATAACAAGAGATTTAGAATATCATCCCATTCCAAAAAAACAACAGATGACTATCTGGACTTAGTAGCTAAGTGGAGTTTGAACTGAACAGTACTTGGTTTAAATCTTAAAGTGAACATTAACTCCATGATTCTGGTACATCCAACTGATGAATACCGAATAGGACAAAACATGTATCCGAGTTTCAACTTCTAACTACTATCATCTATCTTTTTATAGAATGGTTGTGAATGAAGGTGATATCTAGGCAACAAGTAACTGATCAATTGTAACCTTAAACATCAATAAGTAAAGATACAAATAAACCAAATAGTTAATAGTTTATTTAAAAAATCAATAAACTTAATATAACAATACAGATACTACTTATTAATCCATTATAAGTAGTTTTAATTGTTAAATTATTCAATTGATTTTCATTAAATTTAATAATAAATTCATTAGATTGTTTCTTAAATTCATCATAATCCTTATTAAATAATTGAGTTATATTATCTAAAATATAGAAATAAAAGAAAGATTAATTATAAGTAATATACTACTTACAAGTCATTTCATTAGTGAATAAAATTGTATTTGTTTCATTGAAATGATACATTGTATAAATGAATGGTAATGTTAATAATAAAGACATATGAATAGAATATATAGTGAATAGGTTCCAAATCATTCGTTTGAACATTAAGGTATGTGATAATAATAATATTAATAATAATAAACTAGAATGATTGTTTGTTTTTGGTTTAGGTTTATATAGGGTTAATGATATGTCTATAGTTGGATACTAGTTACTAAGATTATTCAATATACATAGTTGTTAGGTAGGTAAACTATTCATATTTATATTTCTCTTATTATAAGGTTTCTTTTGACCTATAGATTATGATGATACTATTTACGATTCATCAGTTATGCCCGGTCTAGTTATTACAGTTTCCAATATTCATAGGCATTTTTTTAGCTTGACCTTGTAGTAAATGTTATTGTCGATTTTATAATGTGATGTTGTCTATTTAGTTTGTTTATCAATTTAGTATGTTTTGAAATATCTGATTGTATTCTGGATTAAACAGGAAGTGCTAGGCAGGAAGAAGGATTGATAAGGATTCTAGATAGCTCGTAAGGGTTTATACGTTATTGGTTGTTTGTTCTCTAATTAACGGTATCATTCCGTTATATAATAATAAGGTACAAGATGACAAGTTATAACACTGTGGTACACATAACATAGAAGTACTAGCCAGCTTAGATTAAGTGTTCCTTTGACATACCGTTAGCCTTCGACATATATCTTAGAATTGCTATTCGGTTAATGTTTTGCTTCAAAGTAAAGCTACAATTTACGGATAGTTTCGCAAGACATAATTGGGCATTGGATTATTGGATCATGTATACCCCGTATTGGAGAAGAATTATTGTTCGCGATCACTTTAAACCTCTTTAGTAGTATAAAAAGGTATTCCCATCATATTTGAATTGGTTAAAGTTAGACATTAACTCCGTTGGATGCCGACTCAATGGTCTAGAGGTCAACCGCTCGCGCATGTGACTGATAGTTCCTGAGTTCGAATCTCACGAGGCGGAATCGTGAATGCTCATTACAGTAGGATGAAACGGCTGTCCAGTATTTCCAGGTTTTCCATAGTGATCTAGCTTCAACTGACACATGATCTTAACCATCAAAATTACTATAATATCCACAAAACCCATCTGTTATTCATTTTATTGTTCAATAATCTATAGTATTGATAAGTTTACACATGACACTAACTCACCAATGTCAATATGAACTAGATATCATTACCGTGGTGAATGAGAACACCGATGGGGACAATCAAATATATTAGAATACTAGAATCGGTGACCCATACAGTAAATAATTCATTTACAAAATGTCAATCATTCGACTCAAACGTCATTATTCTTTTGTTTTCACACTAAACATTCTTTTTTCATCGATCTTACTAAGTTTCTACCACCAGGCATACTACTTATATCTGTCAACATCAGTAGCATATACCACAATACTATTCATAATCCTATTATATTTGATCAAAATCAGTTCTCTTTGTTGGGAAAAAATACTTTCATTGATAACAATCAAAGATGAGAAATACCATTCAATGTGTTACTAACATAGATTGTTAAAACATATCAGTAAGGAAGTCATACTTATCTAATATACCAGAAGGGGTTTTGTGGATCTTATAGTCATTTTAGTAGTTGAGATTATGATTTAACTAAAGTTAGACCACCATGGAAAACCTGGGTACACTGGACAGCCGTTTTGTCCCAAGGTGGGACTCCCCTGCGGTTCGCATTCACGATCCCGCATCGTGAGATTCAAACTCAAAACCTATCAGTCTCGCGAGCGAGCGCTTAACCATTAGACCTATGATACAGTCGGCATCCAACGGTCTTAATGTCTAACTTCAACTCATTCACGAAATTGAGCGAGACATCTACCATTGTCACCAGTGAGTTACTATCTCACAACTGGTCCGATTAAACTCCACTGGCCACTAGTCCATTAGTAGGACGAAATAGCCATCCAGTGCTTCCAAGTTTTCCATGGTGGTCTAGCTTCCATTGACTCATGACCTTAACCACTAAGAATATCTAATATAGTTGATACACATTTCTATACTATGACATAGTGTATCCGCTTGTTGCATAGGTAAATCTAAACGCTTGAATAATACAGTTGTCTGCGGTTACAAATGTCATTTTTCAACATATTTTGGGTTAAGTGTTAGATAGATACATCATACATTCAGTGAATACAATCGAACAGGTAACTCATAGTGTACTGGGCGAGAACACAATTAGGGAAAATCGAATGTATTTGAAGACGAAATTACATAACATCTCACTAAAATCTAAGAACCATACAAAAATATCAATCCATTGTCTTAAACTTGATTGTTGCTTTTGCAAATATCAGTCCATTGTCTCAGATTTCATTGTTCCTGTTCTTTCTTTCTCGATCTACTACTGAAATCCATTTTTACTTTTGACTATCATTTTATACTACTTATATCTATATAAGTAGCTCGCACGACAATAGCAACAAATTTGTTTACAATATATAAGTATATTTTGAAATTATTCATAATTATAGACATAAATAATAGTATTATCATCAGTGTTTTCTTAATATTAATATAAATGTTAGAATGACATAAGAAATGATACAAAGATTTGATAATAATCCATTATGAATTGGCTTATTCGCTGAACTTGAAGGTGATATTGTATTTAATTTGATGATCAAATTGTTAACCATTGAATTTATTAATTTAATCTCATCTAATGATTGTAATAGAAGCCTAATTGCACTGGGTGGTGATGTATCTAGAAAATTATGTTATTACTACGTAAATATTAGTTACCAATATCAGTTTGAATGGCTACATCATGGGTATCACGGCTTATTTGAACAGGTTGTGGTTCGGATGAAATGAATTCAACAATGAAACATAATACAAAGATCCTCCAAATGATCAACATTGAAATGATATTCCACAATGAATACACCAATGATCAATCAGAAGTTACAATGAATATTCACTTCTTATTTATAGGCGCCCAACATGTACATGTTCATTCACACACACACACACGCACATACACACGCACGCACGCATTCACGCACGTACACACACACAATTTGAGTGTAACATGTCATTCCATATACATCCAAATGATATTTGGATATTCATATTGCCAACAAATAAACATGTTTCCATTCATTATCTCTTGTATAGATGATGTTAGTTTTTTTTTGTTTATTGTTTTAATGAAAATCTGATTGAAAATTAAGTGGAAATGAGTAATTTTGAATGAGAAATGTTGATTTCAGGTAGATTGTTATATTGAGAAGGAGGTTTTGTGGTGAATGTAGTCATTGTAATTGTTGAATTCATGAACGTATTTAAGCTAGACCATCATGAAAAATCTCACTGAAAACAACGATCGACGGTGATGTAATATCGAGGATTGGTTGATGCTTGACTTTAGCACCATTGGATGTTAACTCAGTGTTCTACAAGTTAGACGTTTGCGCGTGAGACTGATAGGTTCTGGATTTGAACCTGACAATCAGAATGGTGAATGCGCACCGTTGAGGAGTTTGATGCTAGGATGAAATGGCTGTCTTATGTGTTCAAGTTTTCTATGTTGGTCTAGTTTAAATTAACTCATGAATCCAACTATTAAATTACTCTTACTATCAATTAAGTGAATTTCTAATTGTTCATTGTAAAAGAAATCTTTCTGATACGTTTAAGATTTTTGTTAAAGATTGATACAGTTTATGATTGTTGAAAATCAACCATATTTGAAATAATATGGTTAACTTAACCGATATTTAATGATTATCGTGGTATTTGACTGGATCTGGGTAATGTGATTGATGAGAGCATTATTTTGAAACCTGATTTGTACAGTTTCAACTTCTTCAGTCATCAAAGATGTACACTGATCAGAAGTACAAAACCATATTGATAGGACTCTGTGATATTCAGTTGTACTTGGCAACCTCTGAACGGATCTTGAGTGACCTTGAGAAGTATTAGCCAATCAGATAGTATTGAGTAAAAATGTAATATAAAAAACCAATGACTTAAAGCGGATACACTTCTTTTACATGATTTGAATATTTGTCAAGTTTAGAAGGAGGTTCAGAGGTTCGAAAGTCGAAACCATCCATATGGCTCCATTATAGTCGGTCTCTGGAGCCATGATAAGGTCGCAAATTCTCTTTCAGCCTCGACCACATAGCTCAATTATTGTTTGTGTGCACTTCGGTTGTCGGAGCCAAAAAATGCCGCTTGTGGACAACGAAATGATGCACATAATTAAGTCTATATAGGCATCTGTACGCTCTCCAATCATCCTTATATATTGTAGTATCCTGCTACTGCCAGTGTTACTGGTGCCTTTATTATCCAGTTCTTAATTTGCCTCAGTTTCAATCTGGATCCCTATTCTAGCAAACTTCTTCCTCCAACATATATTATATCGAAGGTCAACATCATCACGGTAGTCTGTACAAGGTCCATAAGTTATTTGATTACCACAATCACAAATAAAAGAAATTATAGCAACTCACGTTCAATTGAGTTTGCTCTCACCTAATTCGGTTAAGCCTTTTTATTAACTTATTAAACGGACAAATTCACCTGCACTATAATAACTTATTGTATCCTTATTACTGTTGCGAATGTATGTACCTTTATTATTGTTATCCGTGTATGAATATGTATGCTCGGCAAGCCTTACTGTCTACGCATTTATTCACGCTACTAGCTTTACTATTAACCGCTTAATTGACTCGATGATTCATTAATTTCACTATGTATATATATGTCCATGTTATTCATATTCATTACTCGCTCGCTCTTGCCCTTGCTCTCTCTCGCTCGCTCGCTTGCCTGTTTGCTCTTCGGCACAATTCTTTTATGCTAGCTTAACACATCTGTAATTTTGGATATCTGTGTATGGTCCCATAATAAACGTAATTAACACTTCGTATTCGCCTTGTGATTAATATACCGTTGGAGCGTTATTTGGTGACGGTTACCGAGACGAACTGTATACGGAGTTTAAGGAATACATCGAACACCGACCACCACGAACTTCTTAGTAGTCCGATTTGTAGTAGTCGCTCAATTATCATGTTTTCTTCAAAAATCCTCTGTCAACCGATTGTACGTCAATATCAAGTATTGAAATTGGAGCTATGACCTTGAAATTCCTCAAACACTTCTGATTGGTTCTTCCATAAATTATAATCTTGCCCTCAAGTTTAGTGCTTTGTATAACATGGAAAGATACCTTACAAACGATCAAATATGTGAAAGATCTTTATTAACTGTTTATTATTGAGAACAATTCAATTAGTCAAATAAACAGTCCTATTTTTAGCTAACACACTCATAAATACTTGAATATTGGAAGAGTTTAACCTATAGGAAGAAGCTATTCAACCTATATGACTAAATAACTTGGTTTTTAACTGATTTCTGGTCATTTAAGGATTACAAAATAAGTGGTACTAATATCATGGTGATTAAGAAAGACAATAGTACAATATCGTTTAGTGAACTTCAATTCAAAGTATTTTAGACCCAGTTAGTTTCATAAAAAGCAGACTTCGAGATAGTATGTATATTTCCGTCTACAGAATGTGAAACTGAAATACATCTACGATGAACCTCAGTTTCAAACAGATATGAAAAGGATCAGTAGCAACTGGAAAGAACTCGAGAGAATCGACCAGAATAGGATTGAATAGAGAGTGCTTGTGGGTGGCCTATGTTCCTCAACGAGGGGTAACAGGCGTAAGTAAGTAAATAAGTAATAATCACTTGTGCGTTACCACTTTCAGCGATTAGTAAATATGTGTAAAGGTGCTACATGTATTTGGATTTCGACAACACCTTAACCAGTAACACTTTCTATAATCGGAACGTGCAAACCCATTGAAATCAAAAGTTAGAAGTGAATTGGTTCAAAGGTATATTTGATTCATCATCAATATATTGAGAAGTGACTGATCTAAACTGGCTAGCGGTTGTAAGAGAAGTTAAGCACAGAGTACACACTCGTGATCTAGTGCGGATGAGTGACCAAGAACCTTCAACTAAGTGAATCCATTAAAACTAATGTGGTTATCATCAAATGTTGAAGACATACGGAGCTATTGACTTATGGGATATATTTACCGCTCAATATCTAAGTCCAATGCCAAGTGGATTAGAACTTACTTTACCAACGAAATATGTTGTATAGTGGTCTTTCTTGATACTCATGATATGAGTACTTTTAATACATTAGTCACATCACCTTACCCCCACCCTCGTAATTTGACTGGATTATTAAGATCTTACTAGATAAGTATGTTTTACCAATCTCTTTCTTATCTAATATTTCAACTTCACGCAGTAAAAATATCTTAGAAGTAAATAACTCAAAATTTATTGAGATCATGAGCCGATCAATGTTAGACCTTCATTGAGAATCTGGAAGCACAAGACTGCCGTTTCGTCCTAGTATAAAACTCCTCAAAAGTGAGCATTCATGATCCCACACGTAGGACTTAAACTCAATACATTAAGCCTCGCTCGCGAACGCTTATTTATTTATTCATTTGAACATATAAATATTGGTATAAAGGGGAACCGAATACATATGCGCTACACTGAGTCACTTTATTTGTGTGTGGGCTATGATACTGCTCGGGTGCTCATACTGAAGTAGGGGGTTTTCTTAGGGGACCACAACCGGAGCCTTCTACCTGAAGGTTTAATCCATAAGGCGATGGGGCAAAGTAAGCAGATGCAATTCAATGATCAACGTTTGTTCCCTCAACATCCTGGAACTAATGTACACCATTGGTTTGAAATGAGGGTCTTCTGATTCCCTCCCATGTCCACCAACCTGGTTAAAGCGCGGGACATTCATCTTTCGTCTTCTCAATTTCGTAAAAAACAATATTACCGCAGAAGGCAATGAGTATGATTTCCCTGACAATGATTGTATACACGTGACCATTTCGAAAGTCAGAGCTGACTTTCCCCAACCTCGACTCTTGTGGACTTAACCTCCAGACCATTATGATTAGGCAGTTGTCCAATGCTTCCAAGTTCTTAATGATCATCTAACAATAATCGATTCATGATCTCGATTAAATCAACAACATTCAAAACAATCCAGAATATAATCATATGATCTAATCTCTTTACTTTATATTAACAATCTGTAAATAGAACAAAAAGCATTACCACTTGATTTGTTCATGTCAACTTGTCAATAACATGTAGACTAGATTGTTTTGATTATTTTATAGCTTACAAAAGAAAACAATTTCAGAACTGAGTGTATGAATGTTTATGTAAAGTTATATTTTCTACTTTTCAAGTACTCTCAGCATATATACCATAGATTAGGTTTGGTATGATGATACTAATCATCAGGTGGTTGGTAGAACTATAATGTGATTTCGATGTTCATTGATTATAGATAATCGGTAGTTAGCTATGTTAACTATGGTTTCATAGTAGTTGATAGTTGTCATTAAGTAGTATCGAAACTCACTTTTAAAGATCTTCATACAAAGAATGAAACAATTCTACAGTGTTTCGATGTTTCATTGGTTGTCAGTATTTGATCTGCTTGTGATAGTGGTAACATTCATAAATCTTCTTAAACCCAATATTGATTATTGTTACGTGCTTGGAAAGGAAGTTTCCGAAGTTCTATTCAGAATTCATGACTATTAGAGTTCAACTATGTTGAGTATGAGAAAGTTACTCACTAACTGACATCTGATATTGAATCATGAATGTATTCAGATAATGGATAATTCTTATAATGTAATCGGTAAATTTTACGGTAGCCTACGATGATTCCCAATTAAGAACAATTGATATGTTCTTCAAATAGAAACAAAAAAAAGGTTCATTTGAATTCCGATATAAAGGTCAACACTGAAGTGGAGATGCATCAAACTGACGCCTTTTATATGTTACGAAACAAGTTTTCTCGATTTCCATCTAAGCCACAACAAAACTTTGCTATTTATTAGATATGTTAATACTTTAATAGTGAGTTCATTAATCCTTCGAAAGTATAATCACTTTATTTGTTTAAATAACAGAATTTCTGAAGACAGATAATAGCCCACAATACCCTGTTACGGCCCTCACGAAATTCTCTGACATGGTCACGTGTATACAACCAATGACAAGGAAGTCTTACTCACTACCTTCTCACCACTGGGGTGTTGTTTACGGAATTGAGAGGACAAAAAGAGAATGTTCGGCGCTTTAACCAGGTCTGTGGACACGGAGAGTCCACCTAGATGAGTTTGAAAACCCTGATTCCAAACCAATGATGCACATGGGCAACATGATCCTGAGGGAACAAATGACGTATGAACCAATTATTGATTACCAGCTACCATGTAACTGCATCTCCTGACGTTGCTCCACCGGTTTGTGGATCAGACCTTTAGGTTGAAGGCTCCGGTTGTAGCTCCCTAAGAAAACCACTTGTTTCGATTTTGTCACCTTGACAGTTCTCAGCCCTCACACAATTCGAATGATTTATGTGGCATTTATCTGTTTGATGCCTTCTTATACCAATGTTTACGTGTTTAAATAAATAATATAACAACCTCTAAATGTTGCTGTGAACGATCCCTAAGTAGTGACCATTATCATGTATGTCACACTCTTCTTAGAGCTGATCGAATCGTATCGATCATATAGTAATGTAGCCATTAGTCTTGGAGAGTTGACATCACGTGCACTATAATCAGATGAAAGACGGTGGTTGGAGGTATTCGACAGAAAATCATGAATCTAGGTTCCGTGGTACTTTGTACGTGTCATAAAAGTGCATCTCTAATCTTGAAGGAGCTGATACTCCTTACAACGTGATCAATAGAATTTGGGAAGTAATAAGAAGGAATTATGTGGTGTTTGAATGAACTAATGATTGCTTTGTACTTGTTGAATGTTTGATTTCGAATTCTAAATACTGTACATTCGTTAGTGCTTGTGCAGTACTTCTTGATTCAATTGCGTTATCCCTGGGATTCTTAGTTCATACTATAATTCAATTACTTCTAATTATCATAAATTAGCATTTAGTTTCATAGATCACTACTCATTGACAAATCCATTATGAATATATCTAAGTCCTACAGGAGGTTAGTTACATGGTAAAAAATGGAGTTTTCAATTTAAATGTTTTGAATTCTTTAGCCATATGGTTTCAATGAAGCACCAGTTCCTTCAAAGATTACAGGTTCACCTTGCTAACGAGTGCCAAGTAGCACGAAACTCGGGTCCAGGGTTTCCTGTCGACTGTCTGCAACCACCATCTAATCTCACAATAGTGTCCGCAGTGTCAAGTCACCTAGACTGGTGGCCACATTGCAACATAGTCGATAACATTCGATCTGCACCAATAATAAGGACTAGACACGCATGACATTGGTCACCACCCATTGATCAATCAATTGTAATCAGAGTTCATGTTTAGTACTGTTATTTTGATGAAGAATATTGATTTTCAGATTTAAGGATGATCAAAGCAAATCATTATGCCCACATCAAAATAATGATTCTTATTCAGCGTCAGCTGCTGAAAACCGTTTTAACAAACACGAATTCTACACATATGAGGTTCATCAAGATTGTGAAAGATAATATTGTAAACAATACAAAATAGGTGCTTTTGACTCATTCTGTTCTACTTTTTGGGATTGTTTAAGATGATTATGAATGATAAATGATTCGACATTGACTAATATATGTGTAATTCATACATTCTAGAGAGCTTCCCGATTACCTTCTACACTAATTCAATAACATTGATCATTCTTGTTCGATTGAAGAAAACCTAGGAGTTCAAGAACATTTTGATATTTCAAACAGTCGAATTCATGGTACATCAACTTTGACCTTGGAGTATGAAACCGGAATAGAGAATGAATGAATATGTAGACGGTTTAATAGAGATCTTAATAGTTGCATGCATGAGAGAACTAAAGGTAGGTTACCATAGAAAACCTAGAAGCCCTAGATGGGCGTTTCGTCGTAGTATGAGACTCCTCAGCAGTGGATATCTACGATCCTACCCCGTGAGAATAAATACTTTGAGGACAATAAACGTTTTAGTATGATTACAAACTTTATGTGACATGTAACATTTTGATGTAAATTAGTTGAATATACAACAAGTTCACCAATAATGTCATGTATTTGTACATTACACGAATCATTTATCCATTTGTTTGTATATAGGATGATTTCAAGAAGCATGTGAAGGAGAACAAACCAGCTTCCAATTCAAGAGGAAAAGATGTTGAAGGTGAATAAGATGTAACATTGTAGAAATCATTAAACAACATCACAAAATAAGAACTAACTTGGAATCATGAAAAGAAACAGAAAAGAGGAAGACCAAAAAAGATACTACATTGGTAACTAGAAACCCAAAGTAAAAGAATGAATAGCGATTACAAATGCCTGAAAAGGATTAGCCGGGACAGAGTTGGATGAAGAATGTTGGTGATCGACCTATGCAGCTCTCTACGAGGGATGACCATCAACTACTATATATTGATTGTCATTATAAATATGTATCACAATATATGAAGCCCTTTAAAAAATTTACGTATATTTCTAAGTGAAGTTGAGCACATTTTATCTTAAACAGATGTAATCAAAACATTTTTTCTATGCTTACTGGTATACACATACTTATTTACGCTTCATAGCCTCATAGAGGAGCATAGGCTGCTTACCAGCATTCTTCATCCAACTCTGTCCTGGGCAATCCTTTCCAGTTGCTATTCATCCATTTCATGTCTGCTTCCAATTCCCGACGCAGTGTGTTTTTTGACTTTCTTCTCTTTTGATTCTCTTCAACATTCCAAGTTAGCGCTTGCCTTGTGATACAGTTTGATGATTTTCAGTTGGTATCTTCTATCCACTTTCAACGTCTTTCCTTAATTTCCTCTTCAAATGGAAGCCGTTTTGTTCTCTACCACAGTAATCTATTGCTAATGGTATACAGTCAACGGATATTCAGTATCGTATGTAGACAAGTGATTATAAATACTTGTACCTTTTTAATGGTTTGAATAATTTTTTCTGGTTAGCGTCTACGCAAAATACTTCAGATCCGCTGGCCGGACACTATTAGCAACAACCTACTGTGGGAGAGAACAAATAAGATCCTAGTGGAGGAAGAAATCAGGAAGAAGCGCTGGAAGTGGATAGGACACACATTGAGGAAAGCACCGAACTGCGTCACAAGACAAGCCCTCACATGGAATCCTCAAGGCCGAAGGAGGAGAGGAAGACCAAAGAATACATTACGCCGAGAAATGGAGATAGATATGAGAAAAAATGAACAAGAATTGGATGGAACTAGAAAAGAAGGCTCAGGACAGAATGGGTTGGAGAATGCTGGTCGGCGGCCTATGCTCCATTGGGAGTAACAGGCATAAGTAAGTAAGTACCTTTTTAATGATGGTTATAATGGTTCTCCAGGTTTTGGTTTCGTACAGTAGAACTGTCTTGACATTTGTATCGGAAATTTTGACATTGATATTGATTGACAGACAGTTATTTTAAGTTCCACATGTTCATCAATTGTCGGAATGCTGTTCTTGTTTTGCCAATCCACGTCATTACATTTGCATCAGATCCTCCTTATTCATCGATAATGTTGTTTAGCCAGGTATATAAAAGATTCCTCATCTTTCAGGGCTTCTCCATAATACAAAAACATAATTTGACAATATAATTGAATATGATACATATAATCGCGATAGATCCTGGGTTCGAATCCCGTAAGACAGGATCGTGATTATACTTTGCTGAAGAATTCAGTGATAGGACGAAACGGCTATGTAACGCTTCCAGATTTTCCATGATAATCTAGCTTCAATTGACTCATGATCTCAACTATTAAACTATATCTATATTTTTTGATTAAGATCATGAACCGATTGATATAAGACCACCGTTGGAAACCTGAAAGCACTGGACGGCCATTTCGTCCTACCGTGGGACCCCTCAGCAGTGCGCGTTCACAATCCTGCCACCTTTCAGGATTCGAACCTCACACGTGAACGCTTAACCTACTGGACCACTGAGCTGGCATCCAATGGTGTTAGTGTCTAACATCAAACAATCCACGACATCGTGCGACCATCTTCCCCTATACTGAGGTAGATACCTATCTCTACCCAACACAGATTAGCTCCCCTGTTTCTATATAGGTAAAATCAAATAGATCTAATTCATATATGTATGTATTTGTATATTGAAATAGATTTGTACAGGTTTATTTCAAAGTTATTATAGTAAATAATGCAATTGAAGTACTAGTCAATAATCCATTATAAATAGATTTCTTTGCAGAACCTGTTATATTAGGCACTTGTACCCCTTTGGTTAGATTATCAACTTTATCTTTCATTTCTTGATACATTCTACTAAGGTTATCTGAAATATGATTAACTCCATAGAAACAAGGTTACTTACTGAATTGATCATGTGCACTTAAACGGTGTTCAGCGGTGATTTCAATTCTTCCATTTGTAATAAATAAATGAATACTAAACCAAATAGATAATATTCTCCAAAACATTTCCAAGATTTAAATCAATCTTATCTTGATAATAATAATAATAATAATAATAAAAGAAACAGAGAACATATACCATTTATTTATATACCTTTAATATTTTTATGTTTATTTATATACTACTTAATTAAATATTCATCATCGACTCAAAACAAACAAGCAAACAACCAATCAACTAAGTGAAACATGTTTTGCTTGTTTAAAATTTGTTTTCTATTAGAAAGAAAAAAAAACAATGATTGAAATGAATGACAAAATGATTGAAATACATCATAGATATAGATCATGTTTGATTTGTTGCATTTGGTTGTTGTTGTTGTGGTGGTGGTGGTGGTTGTTGTTGCTAAGGTACAATTCAATTGTTTATTACCTGATTACTTTTTATGATTATAGATAGAATTTATGATTAATGACGTGTTCATTTTTTTACTGATGGTATGGTGTATGTAAATAAATTTACATGACTGAGCTGCATCATTAATGAACATGGTGGATGTGATGTAGATGTGAAGATGTGGATTGACAAAGCAAGAATAGTATTTTGATAATTGAAGAACATCTGGAACTCAGGACAATGGTTAGCTAACATCAAAGTCAAAATTTTTAATACAAATATCAAGACAGTTCTACTGTATAAGGTGGGAACTTTGAGAACTACGACAATCATCATTCAGAAGAATCAAGTGTTTATTAATAGTTTTCTATGCAAAATACTTCAGATCCGTTAGTCAGACACTATGACCAACAACAATCTACTGTGGAAGAGAACAAATCAGATCCTAGTGAAGGAAGAAATTAGGAGGAAGCGCTGGAAGTGGATAGGACACACATTAAGGAAAGCATCCAAGGGCGTCACAAGGTGATCCCTCACATGGAACAGTCAAGATTGAGACAAATGACTGACATTTTGCAAATGAACTATTTACTGTACGATTCTCAGATTCTAGTAAGACATTCTGTAATTTTGTGTTCAAATACATTCGGTCGTCCTTAATGGTGCTTGAATTGTGTATATACACAATTAGTGAGTCAAATAATTTTGCTTCTCCCTAACACTTCACTACCTTTGACTGAATACTCTTGGATAGAGTTCCATATTGCTATTATTCCGATGAGAACTATGATTGTTAACTCTTGAGAACTGTTAATGGACTAATACGATACATATATTTTGTATTGTATAAGTGTTAACTAGCTAAACTATATATATTCATATTCCTCTTATTATAAGCTTTATGTTGACCCATAGACTATTATGATACGATTTGCCGTTCTTGAGTTATACCCAGTCTATTAATTACAGTCTCACATATTCATAACCACTTTTGGCTAGATCTTCTAAAATTGATGTTTCCTATTTTATGGTACGGTGTGGTCTGTCTGGTTGGCAATATAAACTCACTATATCGCAAAGGGTGAGATGGGTGTTCTGGGCTCAGTAAGCAGGGCTAGTCATGAAAAAGGACCGATAAAAACTCTAGACTGTTCGTACGGGTTTTATATGTCATTGGTTCGGTCGATAAATCACTGTTCTCTAAATGGCGATATCATTACGTTATATATGAATAGGGGGACAAGGCTTAAAGTTATAACAGGTACTAAGTTCGGTAACTAAGTTCGGGAACTTCGTTGGAGAGTAAACAATCATCTCTGGTAACTTCATTTTGACGTCTTAAATTAATAAACTCGTCAATGTTTTACAAGAATTCGATGATAAACTTCCATAATACAAAGTTTTACATCAATTATTGTCTGAATACTTATGAATATGAGATTTTTAAAGAAGAAAATTCATATAAGAAATTATAGTAAACTCACCGTAAGGTAGTGAGTCGTAAAATCATTAATAGATTATGAGATTATTCACTGGTTGAAATCATGAGTCAATTGAAGCTAAACCACCATAGAAAACCTGGAAGCACTGGACGGCCGTTTAGTCCTATTGTAGGACTCCTCAACAGTGCGCATCCACAATCTCGCCCCTCGCGAAATTCGAACCCGGCACCTATCAGTCTCGCGCTCGAGCGCTTAACCATTAGACCTGTGAGCCGGCCGTTATCTAACGGTGTTAATGTCTAACTTCAACCAATCTGCGAAATTGCGCCACCTTACACCATTGTCTTTAGTGAGTTGATATCTCACAACAGACCTGGTTAAACTCCACTGGTTATGGCTTCTCATTAGAACTCCAGGAGTGTCTCTTGAAGTCGAATCTCACGAGGCAGAATCGTGGATGCGTATTGACGAGGAGTCCCATTGTGGTCTATCTTCAATTGACTCATGATTATAACCAGTGAAATTCCTAAAATCTCCACAAAACCCCTTTTGATATAAGATTATTGTTATCATAACATCGGCTGGAATCGGTAAGAATCCTTATTCAACATAGGACATTTACTCATTTTCCAAATACCATTTTAGGTATATGTACAATATGGATGGCTCAAAACAATGTCAGTCAGTAACAACATAGAACTTTGCACGTACGTATATCAGTTCGAGTTACCATACCACATTAGCACACAGATACAATTCTCGATAGCTCAAACCAGAGTATTGTTAAGTTCTTTAAATTTGAGATCTGATAACAATGATTCCATTGTTTATGGTCAAACTTATATCCAGTAAGTTCCGACAAACAGCTAACATGGTTGAAGCGAAACTGTCTCTCAGTATTTACATGTCAAAGCAAAAATACAAAGTAAATATCGATGTACGTAGAGTAATGTCTATATCACAACGTATTCGACAGAATTGAATCATCCACAAAGATTAGGCCAATCATGATAGTGAATACCTAATCAAAGTAAAGTAACGATACTATAAGTATTCATATCAGGTAAACTAAGAAAGATTAATGCCCACCTTTTTTTCGGGTAGTTACATGTAGAAGTATATGATATAGTAACGGACGTTATGTAGAACAACAAGAAATAAACATTTCGGAATTGTCTATATGTACCTTTATGATCAATGTATTGTGTTATAGTTAAGTACATATGAACTAAATTATTTGAGTCAAGTTCTTACTTACTACTGACATGTTGTCAAAACTGACATAGTACTGTCCGTTACTATGTTCAGCCCACATAGCTTATTTGAACATCTGAACAGGTCAATCTATTAATTCTCTTTGAGTCATATTTTGATCTTGTCACTTATTCATTTATCAACTTTAACTGCTATTATATAAGTGTACATAGTGAACTTCTTATCCCAGTCATCATATGTTGGTAACTTATCTTTCTTCAACTATAGATATCGATTAACGCTTGGTTAAATCGAGTTGGTTCACACAGTAACTCCACTGTGTGTCATTTTAGTTTGCTCTCTTCTCTTCTCTTCGCTTCGTCCTTCTGATTGTTTGCCCAGATGAATAAGTATACAAAATATACGTATTCAAAAATCCATCTTCGTATTTGACTTATTTCAATTCTATTATTCACCAACGCGATTTAAGTCGATAGTTATATATGAGAATTGACAACATGTATATTTTAATAACAATCATTCTTACAATCTACTTGGAATTAGATATTCAAAGGTCACTAAAGTGATGAGATCTAGAGGTCTAAAGGTTAAGCGTTGGCACGCAACACTAAAGGTACTGGGTTCGAATCCCAAGTGTGTGAGATAGAACGAAACGGCTGTCCAGTGCTTCTAGGTTTTTACTAGTGGTCTAACATCGATCAGTATTCGAACTCAGACAAATAATCACCTAGGTAACACATTTGTTTTTGATCATGATGGATGATAATGCCATCATAACTGCTTAATGAAACAATCATATAGACTATTGAAAATGATATATTCTATTTATTATCATTGAAGAACATATGGAACTTAAAACAACTATCTGTCAACCAAGATCAAAGTCACAAGCTTCAATACAACGTCAAGACAGATAGTTCTACTGTACGAAACTGAAACTTGGAGAACTACTACAACTATCATCAAGGAGGTGCAAGTATTTATAAATAGCTGTCTACGCAAGTTACTCAACACCCATTGGCTGGATACCATTAGCAATAGCCTTCTGTGGAAGAGAACAACCAGCTTTCAGCTGAAGAGAAATTAGAAAAGATGTTGGAAATAGATAGGACATACATTAGTATGTCCTATCTATTTCAAACTGCATCACAAGGCAATCCATAACTTGGAATCCTCGAGGGAAATGGTAGAGACGAGGATCAAAGAGCACACTCAGCTGAGAATTGGAAGTAGATATGAAAAGGATGAATAGAAACTGGAAACAACTGGAAACAATTGCCCAGGATTAAGTTGGATGGAGAATATTTGTGGTCAGCCTATGCTCATCCATGATGAGAGAAACATACTAATGGTAACCAGTGACTAACAATAGGTTCATACACCATTTGTTCCTTCAGGATACTAGAGTCTATGTGCAGCATTGGTTTGAAATCAGGGTTTTCCAAGTCATCTAGATGAATCCTCCATATTCACCAACCCGGTTAAAGCATTAGATATTCACATTTCGTCCTCTCAATTTCATAAACAACACCCCAATTTTGAGAAGGCAGTGAGTAGGACTTCCCTGACAGTGACTGCGTACGCATGTCCATGTGAGAGCTTTAGGAGAGGGAAAGATGACTGTCCCGACTCTCGGCCGTACCAGTTCATTTGGGTGCTAGATTAATCTCTATGGGCTCGACATAGGATCAGCCACTACAACTTATTGATTACGAATCCTAAATACATTAAGTTCATTTGTGCTTATCTAGTTCTGTCTTGCTTTAACCGCACTGTTTCGGGAATTCCTAGTCAGTACATTCATTTAAAGACTTCGAATTATCATATGTAATTGATCTTATCATATTTATATGAACAGAAGAATGAAAAACCAATGATAAACAATCAAAACTAATATTTCATTATGGAGATGGTCTTACTGAATTTAAAATCTGTTAAGTACTAATATGGTGTATGCTACTTAAACTGACAGATGATAATAAGTAGTACGTAACGGCAATCGGAAGTGGAATACCTACCAGCAGAAGATTATATTGAAGAGAACAGTAAAGAAATCGGAGAGAAATCGAAAGGATATTAACAGAATTAAGGAGATAAGGGAGTATGTAGAGGACAACACAAAGATGTGATTTGAACGTGACCCTTTCTTTTCTATTCTGATTGTGGTCTTGTTATTAACTATCTTCAGTTCGTTTGAAATACGAAGAAATCAGATATACAGTTTCAGGATTCTGCTTGATCACAGTTACGTAATAGGTCAGTTGTAAGGCTATTTAGTCACAAATCGGACTTAAACGTTATAAGTTTCAAGGTTACACTTAGTAAGTTATCACGTTATAAGATCGAGGCAGCGTCTCCTCTTTCTCTCTCTCTCTCTCTGCATATCAAACATAGATTAGCAAGCAGATAAATCAAGGTTGTAACATTGATTTCGTTGAGAAAGTGATGCACTTTGTGAGTCATTGATATCATGTTGCTTAGTGATCATTTAGTTCAACATCGTCTTCAATGATGCAAGAAATGATTCACGAGTCAGTCTAAGCTAGACCATTGTTGAAAACTTGAAAGCACTTCATGGTCGTTTCTTCCTAGCAAGGGACTCTCACCAGTGTGCATCCACAACCCCACATACAGTACTTGAACACAGGACCTTCGATCATGAGTGCGAACGCTTCACCTCTACACCACTAAACCGTTATCTAGCAGTGTTAATGTCTAAACAACTCATTTTAATTTAACGGATTTTGTTTTATAAATAGGAATGAATAGGAGATAATTTCCATACCCCCCTCGGAAAGAAATTAGAAAAGAATACTTTAACTACTTATTATTATATTTAAGTAGTTTAAAAATACAAATATTTACGGGGAAAAAGTCATCATTTCTTTGAATGAAATTATAATCAGTTTATCCATTATAATAAAAGAAAATTACATTATGCATCATGATAATATTGTGAATAAATTATATTAAATTTTAGAATAAAAGATAAACTACTCATAATAGTAATAAGTAGTTTCAAAAATACTATTAAACATTTATACATATATAAATAAATTAAAGGATAACATACAAATAATAATAAATAATACATTAATCATATATTTATTTGCTGAATTAGTAATTGCTTTTATTCTTCTAGTTAATTCATCTAACATTCTTTGAAATTGTTCAAGTTCTCTTTGTAATTCTTCTTTAATTTCAATGGATGTTTGATTTAAACGTACTTCTAACGGAAATCCATTTGAATCATAGTTTCCATCTAATATTTCATGAGTATCAGAGTTTCCAACAGATGCTTCATGAGTATCCGCGTACTGAATACCTTGATGATGAGAACTATTGTTATGGTCTCCATTTTCTTCTATGATGCTATTGTTGTTTTCAGATTTTACGAGATTTAATGAAAATAAATGTAAACTAATAGAGATAATGAATAGTTTCCAACTGATCCAAATGATTCTATGAATCATTAATTATGAAAAATAAATCAGTAATATTAAATGATAAATAGAAGGTATGAATTTGTTTTTGTTATTTATATACTCTAAATGATGACATGTTTTGTTTATTTTGTGATGATTTTTGTGTTTTTTTTTTTTGTATTTTTTGTGTTTATTTTTGTATTTTTTCTCTTGTTTTTTTTTTGTGTTTTTTGTGTTTTTCTTGTTTGTTTTTTTTTCATTCATGATGATACAAATTCATGAAATGAAAACATGTTCTGTTTTCGTCTTTTTCTCTCTTTTTTTCTTTTTTTTTCTTTTTTTTTGTCATAATTAAAAAATTGGCTAGAAATGATACCATATGAACATGTAGTTAAATGATACATTTATTATCAGGATCCAAACGCCTTGGTATGGCTGAGAATGGGGAGAGTTAGTTCTTCCTCTTGAAATGGTCTTACATAGATACCTGTATACAATCACTGACAAAAAAATTCCTACTCACTGCATTATCGGACCACGGATGTTGTTTATAAAATTGACAGGATGAAAAAACGAATGTCCAGCGATTTAACCAGGTTGGTGGAGATGGAGGATCAACCTAAGTGAGTTAGAAAACCATGATTCTAAATCAATGGCGCTTAAGGGCTCCAGGATCCTGATGGAACAAATGATGTATGAACCAATTATTGGTTACTGGTCACCATGAAATTATATCTTCTGAAGTTGGTTCACTGCCTTGTGGGACAGAACTTCAGGTCGAAGGATCCAGGTGTAACATCCTAAGTAAACCACTTGCTACCATTTGAGCACCCAGAAAGTATCTGAGTTCTCACAGAAATTGAATGATTTATGTGGCACATATCTAATTGCTGCCTCCTTGTACCAATGTTTATGTGTTTCAAATAAATAAAACAATGTTAAAAGGATGATTGTTACATCATATGAAGTAAATCAATTGCACAAGAGTCTTATACTAGGACAAAACGGTCGTATAGTGCTTCTAAGTTTTCACTAGTAGTCTAGCATAGATTGACTCATGAATTCAACTATTAAAATTACTATAATCTCCAGAAAACTCCCTTTTCTGATAATAATCATCATATGCTCATTAGTGACGGTCTCCGAGAGGTATTTCTTGGAGTTCTAGTGAGAAGCCATGTCGGATAGATACAGGAATCTATCTCAGACAATCGATGAATGGTTGCACAGCCATTCATGGATCGGTGGAAGTTAAACGTAAGATCGCTGGATGCTGGTTTAGTGGTGTGACGGTTAAACGTTCGCACGTATGACCGAAGGTCTCGTATGTGGGATTGTCAATGCACACTCTTGAGTAGTCTCATACTAGAACAAAACGGCCGTGTAGTGTTTCCAAGTTTTCAATGGTTGTCTAGCTTACTATAATCTCCACAAAACCCTCTTTCTGATAAAATTTCAAATGGTTATATATTATTCAATTTTGGAAACAAATTCTTCTTTATATTCACAAACACTTATGTCCTATAATTGTAACTAGTAAACAATGAATTTAAAACATAATGGTTAGTACAAACTCTGAACAGTAAGACTGGATCCTCAATGAATAAGAAGGATTCAATGCAGAAGTAAAGGCAAGGATTAACAAAGCAAAGACAGAATTCCTACAGTTGAAGAATGTATAGAACTACAAACAACTGTCTGTCAATCAATATCACAGTCACAAGCTTCAATACGAACATCAAGATAGTTCTACTTCATTGTAGCGGAAACGTGAACAACTACCACAACCATCATCATATACAAGTCTATACGAAAGAAACTGAATGTCTGTTGGTCGGATACAATTAACAATAACTGTATACTTTGGGAGAGAACAAATCAAATTCCACCTGGAAATGAGATTAGGAAAAGATGTTGCAAGTGGATAGGATGTTATTAAGAACAATATAATTCACAATTGATTGATTACTGGGTGATGAACAATGTCATGTCATGTCATATTAGGTCCTTCATAGTACAAATCGAATCCTATCGATCAAGTTACAATGTGATCATTAGTTTAGGTGACTCGATATTGCGTGAGTCAACAGAAAACCCTGATAACTACCTTCAACCACCATCATATCAGAACGATACAATATATACATATTGATTGTTTCCATATATCCAAAGGGTGGAACTTGCAATTGATATCACTTGGCATGAATTACTGTTATAATAAGTGATATTAAATATCATTCATGTTAATGGTTCAGATTGATGAACAAAACACTCCTTGGTAATTAAAACAAATCTAACTGATGGACATGTTGATCAATACAAAAATATTGAACGTTAGTTGTATGTCAAACACCTATTGATCTAATCAACAACTATTTACTTACATATTTACGTCTGTTACCCCCAACAGAGCATAGGACGCCGACCAGCATTCTCCAATCCATTCTGTTCTGTGATCTCCTTCCTAGTTCTATTCAAATGCTCTTCATTCTTCTCATATTTGTCTCCATTTCTCGACGTAATTTGTTCTTTAGTCTTCTTTTTCTCCTTCGGCCTTGAGGATTCCATGTGAGGGATTGCTATAATGCATTATTATTAATTCTATTTACTTACTTACTTACGCCTGTTACTCCCAATGGAGCATAGGCCGCCGACCAGCATTCTCCAATCCACTCTGTCCTGGGCATTCTTTTCTAGTTCCATCTAATTCTTGTTCATTTTTCTCATGTCTATCTCCATTTCCAGTCGTAGTTTGTTGTTTGATCTTCTCATGGCCTTGAAGAGTCCATGTGATGGCTTATCTTGTGACGCAGTTCGGTGCTTTCCTCAATGTGTGTCCTATCCACATTCAGCACTTCTACCTAATTTCCTCCTCCTCCGCTCAAATCTGGTTTATTCTCTCCTACAGTAGATTGTTGTTGCTGATAATGTCTGACCAACGGATCCGAAGCATTTTGCCTTTATACATGTATGATTATCCAGTGATTTGTTCACATTTAACTTGTTCTCTTATAATGGATACATTATACTTGGGGTAAGATTAACCATTATTAACCATTATAAGTGTTTTAATAAGCATAATATCAGTATTAATGCCAAATACATACTGTTCATAGACATAATGTGTTTGGTTAACCTTATTATTGTATAATTTCGTTGGAGTTGATCAACTCTATAAAATGCATCTGTAGTCATTTCAATAGTTGAGATCATGAGTCCAGTAAAGCTAGACTATCATGAGAAACTTGGAAGCACTGGACGGCCGTTTCGTTCCTAATGTGCGACTTCTCAGAAGTAAGCATCTATGATCCCGCACATGGGATTCGAAGCCAGAATCTTCGGTTTCATTAAATTAATTAATTAGGATAATTATGTATAAAAATAGTAATGTTAAAATATGGTCAGAAACGATGGTAAGATTCGATAGTAATTCATTATGAATGTATTTACTTCAGAGTCGGATTCGGCAAGACTATAATTTATAAACGAACCAATCAGGTGTAAGATAACAGGTCTTGTATTTCGGCGTGAAATTCATTCATCCATTTGGGTAAATAGAGTTATGGCATTATAATAGATGTCAGTTCATGATAAAGACCCTAAATCTAATTTCTAACCTTAATCATCAACTGCTACTCACAATTTTAATTTCTCATACTGGTTTATCATCCTCATTTTCTCCTAGTTACGAGGTAGATACTCTCAAGGTCATTTTAGCATCATCTAAAGGTCGTCTAGAAATTATAGTCTCATCTCTGATTCTTCTAATCTTTATTTTAAACTGTTAAGATCTTTTACAAGGTCTTTTCTGATATCTGTGACAGTTAAAATTAAGTAATAGTTGGTCACGGCCTCTCACTAGAACTCCGAGTATTCCCTCTTAGACACTAACATCCTTTATGCCGACTCAATGGTCCAGTAGGTTAAGCGTTTACGCGCGAGACTGAAGGCCCTGGGCTTGAATCCCGCTAGCGAGATTGTGAATACGCACTGCTGACGAGTCCCACAATAGGACAAATCGGCCGTCCAGCGCTTTCAGGTTTCCAATGGGTTCATGATCTCAACCAAATATTGTATTTGTTGATTCATTAGATACTTTCATGTTTAAGTTGATTTCATCAAGTGGTTATTGTATTGTGAATATGTTCATGGAAATCAATGGATTCAGATTCTAGTGAACGAGAACACGGGTGAGAACAACTGAACTTATTTGAACACGTAATTACAGAACATCTTACTAAAATCTAAGAACCATATAGTAAATACTTCATTTACCAAAATATCAATCGGTTGTCTTAAACTTGACTGTTCCTTTTGCAAATATCAGACCATCGTCTCAGATTTCATTGTTCCTGCATTTTCATATCAATTGCTTTCCGTTTCCGTTCCTGTCCTTTTACGACCTTCTACTGAAATACATTCTATTCTTGACTACCATCATATAGTACTTATGTGGATATAAGTAGCTCACACAACAAGATGTTCCAGTTTTATTTCCAATATCTTCAGTACTGTTATTTTATACATTCATAATATATGAAGACAATAAATAATATCCAAATCATTGAATTATTTCAAAAAAAAGATCTTCTAGTTGAAGGGTTTTGGCGTTCTAGTGTTCAGTTATAGGCGGTTTATCAAGTAATCAACCTTCTAGATACAACAGATAGTTGAAACTTTTCAAGGCTCTTGTATATACTACTATTTACAACTTGGATAGGACACACACATTGAGGATAGCACCCAATTGCGTCACAAGACAAGCCATCACATGGAATCCTCAAGCTTGAAGGAAAGGAGAAGACCAAAGAACACATTACGCCGAGAAATGGAGATAGACATGAGAAAAATGAACAAGAATTGGATGGAACTAGAAAAGAATGCCCAGGACAGAGTGGGTTGGAGAATGCTTGTCGGCGGTCTATGCTCCATCGGGAGTAACAGGCGTAAGTAAGTAAGTAAGTAAGTCATTTACAACTCAGTACGCGATTTCATTTACATTTATAATCAGGGTTCTGCTATAGAATATTCATGTGTAAATGAACGGGTTCACTGTTGTTGCCAAATGAGTGAGGTTGTAAAAGTACACAGCTAAGTATTCCATATTAGGACGAAACGACTATTCAATAAT